ATGAAAAATAAAAATAAAGACGATGGTCGTAGAAATTGTGCAAATTGGTTGTTGGCTGAAAAGATTTATTAGCAATTTCTTTGTGAGGCGTTTAATAAAACTGATCTCTCTTTTTGTTCGACTTATCGAGATTTTAGGATATGTTGAGAAATATTTGGAGAGTACATTCTACAATTTGACAGCTGTCGCTTTGCATGATTCGAACACCTATATGGCGATGAATTTGTTGGCCAAACAAAAATATAATTTAATCTTATGTCAAAGTCGCCTACCATTCCAGAAGCTTGATCAAGGTCCAGATGTGTTATTTGTTGCCCGAAATATTGATTCATTTGTGGAATGTTATGACTATAATTTAAATGAGCAGGTAAATAATTTCACATGTTTTCGGAAATTTTTGAGTGAATTTTGAAATCTTATAAATTCGAAACTAGATATATCATTTAGCAAGATTTTCTATTCGATTTAGAGCAGACTTTTATTTACATTTTGACGAATTAATAATCACAGATTTCGCATTGCAAATGGGGTTACTATTTGTAGTCGATCTGACTTTATTTTCTAATTATGATTTTAACAATTAATTTTTTTTGACACTCGAAATGTGTAATTGGATTATAATTCATCGGAAATTGATTAAAATTCTTTATTTCAGCTGTAGAAGTAACACTTTTCAGGTCTAGAAATGTAATTTATTCGTATATCTTCGATTTTAGTTAATACATTAAATCAATTTAAAACGATTTAAAGAATTATTGGCTTGCAATTAATGTAATATTAAAAGCGTTTTGTCTATTATTCATTCGTTCTGCTACATAGGAGGTTATAAATTGTTTTCGTTTCAGTTCTTCATTGAAAAAGATAGTAAGAGCAAGCAGTTAACAATATTAACTGCAGAACATGTTGCTAATTCGATACGAACTCACGGTATGGGCATCATGCATACGACGGTATGATTAAATCCAATAATTTTCTCCACTTTCTTCGATAAGTTTATTCATTTTTCATCCAAACTTTTTGAGTGACAGCTGCGAACAGTGAAGTCCGCAAATTTATTCATAAAGTAATTCGTGAGTCACTTGAAAGTTACCTTTCATGATTCAATCACTTATGCTTAAATTTTTTCACTTTCAAACTCCTATTACTGGATTGGAGAACTTTGATAATGGTGATATCATGATGCGAAAATTTTTAGGTAATTGAAAGATCTAAAAAAGAGATTAACCACTTGAAAAACAATCATTCCAAAATCAAAAATAATATTCTACTACATTATAGATCAATCATGCCTATCAGTTTCTGAAAAAGAAATTCTACATCTTTTCACAACTCTTATACGATGATCGTATTAGGAATCAGTTAATTAAGGATGAGCGATATTTCCAAGAGAATGCAGAAAAATTCGGAAAAATGGTTAGTCTTCCGATATATGCAAACAAATTTCGTTCCTTTACCTTTTTTCTTCTTGCTTGCAAACGTTTTTTCCTAAGTACTTGTAAGATTAGAAGCGAGAAATAAATAAAACAAAGTGAACTGAGAGATACCAGAAAGCTCATTCTGGTAATTATTCGATGATCTTCAAACTTTTAATTTTTAGCGATGTTTTTCTTCCATATCTCGGAAAACCTAAAGTTTCTGAACAAATATTTGCAAAGAATATTTTTACCTAACAAACATCGATGATTTGAGTCTTATTTTTTGATCTTTTTACAGTCCTGTTAATTATCATATTTAACGAAGAAGTAAACATAGCGAGAAATACTTTTCTCTGTCGCATTTCAGTATCCAGTAAATCGAGCACAACGTTTCAGCGCTGCAATTCGGCTTCTTGGTGTTGCAGATGATGATTTGTATTTGGATAAGTTACGTGTTCTGATCACTGAGATCGGAAATGTTATGGGTTACGTAAGGCTTGTCAGGTCGGTGGTCGATTTTTAAATCAATAGTAAATCCCCAGTAAACTCCTTATAAACTTTTAGTCTGACTGATAAAAAATCTAAGTAAATTGTCTTATTAGCGCCTTCAGTAAGTTGAATATCTGGCTATAAAAAACCATTTTATATGACAGAGAATACTGGTATTTTTTTTACATCTATATCTTTCTAACCGTGTTCTTCGATTTGAGATAAATTCCATCACTGACTCTGAAATATTGAATAATGACATTCATTTCTTTCAGTGTAGAAAGTTAGATTTTATATCTCAAGTAATTTTTGAAGTTCAGAGGTTCAATTTCTTGTCAGATATAAATTCTCAGGTTGAAAAAAATGCTAACTGGTAATTAGTTTTAAAAAAATTGGAGAACTTTTCTCGCTATTTCTTAGTTTCTAAGTAAATCTTCGGATAATCGCATTTAAATATTGGATTTAATTGAAAGATTCTCGATTCAAACGTTTGTTTTCAGATCAGGATTCGATGAGTTTCACATTTCCAATTCTTATTAAAATTTATTTGAGAAAAATATCCATTGCATTGATTTCAAATGTTTTCTAATTTTCAGTAAAGCTGAGTTAAATCATTCAAACCATTTAACACTGCAGATCAGGTGGTGTTGAAGCGAGTATGCAATCCCTGGGATTTCTTCCTAATATCGATGATGTTCCATCCTTTGAACCACTTGCTGTCAATGCAAAACTATCATCGGAAAGTATCAGTGCTGCTAGAGTATTAGATAATGTTTTTGATGTGGCGAAGAAGAATATTAATCAGTCGGACAACTATCTACAGGTTTACAATCAGAGTATTACCAATCTGTTAATTAGCAAAAATTCCTGTAAATCTTTAAAATTCCAAATATATGTATGTAAGTAGATAAACAGATACAGATTTCAGATTCTTGTGGAAGCATTTGCACCTGAATTGTGCGGAAATTCGAGATATGAACATTTAAACTTCTTTTACATGATTGTTCCACCGCTGACGATCAATTACGTAGATCGAATGCTATCTTGCAAAGGGAAATTAGGACGAAGAGCGAAACAAAACAATACCTTTACCGATGATGGTTTCATTCTTGGTATAACAAAAGGAATTTCGTGGGAACTCAGTAACAAAATTAACCGAGCAGCAAAAATTCAAAAAGCCTTTTTCCATATTTTAATACTTAGAAAAACATCAAATTAAAATTTTTGAAAATTTTTAATTTGGAGAAATTTCATGTTGACACAAAATTTGGAAAAATTTTAAAACCTTGGTGGTTCCAGGATACGGTTCCAAGATAAATGAAAAAACCTCGAAATTAAAAAATTTTAGGTGTAGCATTTATCCTGGTGCTACTGGATCAGCACACTTATTTTTCGGATTTGAACTGGTTCCAATCGGTAGCCCGTGAATGCGAAGAAGAAATTGTCAGTGCCTCATTTGGTCCTAAAAGTTCAAACAAAATCACTTCAGATCCATCTGCAGCAATCCGTTTAGCAAAACTTGACCAATACCAAAAAGTTAGATTTCGATTTCTTCCATAAATCATGTAGTGTTTTTTAAGCATGTGAAAATTTATGGAATTCAAATTTTGTTTGAAAAATTAAACGTGAGCCCTGATTTGATTTTAAATTTGTCTAGGTCTAGTTAATGTTATTGAAATTCTCATGGCTCTTTCGAAAAAAAGTGTAAGAAGTTTTCTAATTTGCTACCGCTCGAGCTATAACCCATCTTCCAAGTTTTTTCTCCTGCCACTTCTTCACCATACAATTTTGTATTTCAGGAATTCCAGTTACTTTCGTACACATTCAGTTCATCTAAAATATTCTTCAATTCAAGTCACGGTAAACTCACTTATAATAAATTTACTAGCTTAATTGAAAATTGCTTACTTGAAACATAGTTAATCATTATCCATCGATGGTATCAACTGGTGCACTATCCGTGATTAGGGTTAGCTTTGATAAATGCCTTGTCAGTTTTTCGTAGAAAGATTTAACAGTGTGTAGTGTCGGCAGAAAAGCAAGTGTAAAAAGGCGAAACTCGTGAAAGTTGAAAAATTTCATTAGTTCATGGACATTTTTTACAGATGCACCAGATCACCTTTCGCATACCGCAGAATCGCAGTAATTTGAACAAAATATATGGTTTAAATCATGATAAAAGTCGAAATTTCTATTGCAAAAACTGTTTCATTTGAATTGCTTTTCAGGAATAATTGTTTTTATCTGAAAGTCATTCTAATTTGGCTTTCTCCTTAAAAATTTGCTGCAATTTTAATTACTTCTCGAACTTCATTCTGTTATTTCATATTTTGTGTTGATTTCGATGATTGTATCACGGACATAATGAATTATACTTCGTTATTTTTCATAGCACAGAATCATTATTTTCCATTTATCTTAAAAACTTAGAAGAAAAGCTATACTGGCATTAATGTAATTAGTTGCTTAACCGGATGGAATAGATTTAGGCCCATAATTTTAAATTTCCATTAAATTTCCATTAGGGTTGGAGACATATTCGGTATGAACTTCTGTCAAAAGTTGACGCATGAAGCAAACGTCTTAAATGACCACTGCGATGTGGGATGCTAAGTTTGCACAGCGCATATGCCGAGTTACTGCTTTGGACCTTGCTACGTGGAATTGATACGTCATTCATTCCGGATTGTCGTGATTCTGGGACTGGATGATGTAGTGCATCACATTGTCCTAGTAGTTTGCTATGTGTTGACCGTGCAGGAGTACGTGTTGTATACCAATTAGTGACAACTTTAGCGCCATGTGTTCCAACAGCATGCTATGTATGTGTCAGTCATCAAATGTTTTTTGGTTTGGAATTATCTAATTATCTACATTCCATCCTAACGATAGATTAAGCTGGGTTTTTTAGTGATTGCCATTTGAGCCTGTTATATAAAACATCTTCGGTATCCTAGATTGACGCATTTTATGCTGAGTAATCTTATGTTCGAGAAGATCATGCGACGGATCTTTATGTATAGTTCTAACTCAATCTTTGCCGCGGTTTGTTAATGGCGTAATTGTCGCTGTATGCTAGAAAGAGAGGAAAACAAGATGGGTGCAATGGAAGAAACCCCGTTAAAGGCAGATATTCAAACAGTTTTTCGGAAACTTCGGAATATACCATGCAACAAAGTATGTTCTTTTGTAAAGAACAGTCCTTAGGTTCCTTAACGATTGCATTAGAGAAATTTTTTGGGATATTTTTTTCTTTACTTTTTATTTTTTTTATTTGTTACCGTTTGGTTATAACAAAAAGAGATGATCGGGAGAATGTAAATGTAGAATCTTTTATATCGTTTGCATGTGATTGTGGATTAGAGATCAATGATGCTAACAACTGATTTGTAATCATAAAGTGGAAGTAGCTTTTTTATGCTGACAGTATAAGATGAGGGAATAGACGGAGAGGTTGCAAATGAAAATAGTTAAAGTTATAATGGAGATTATCAATTCAATTAGCTTCCAGTTTGGAAATTTTGAATTGACAAATTTTAATATTTTGAAACCGCACAATACATGAGCAGTAATCCAGGAATGTTTCGATTGTGGTGCACGTAATCCCACGTGGGCATCAATAACTTACGGTATTTACATATGTATCGATTGCTCGGCGGTACATCGAAATTTAGGCGTTCATATCAGTTTTGTACGATCGACTACTTTGGATACTAAATGGACTTGGTTGCAGTTGCGTGCTATGCAAGTTGGTGGAAATGCTAAAGCGGTTTGTTCATACTTTTTTTTCTGTAAAATAGAAAAGTATGGAACGAGATCAAGCATCAAACATCTTGTTAATGAGGAAATGTGGAAAGCTCTTTCAAATTCTTTTTTATTTATGGGCTAATTTTCCTTTCCGGTTGTTGCTCTTTCGTTTTGGTCGAGATAGCTCTCTTCAGCAACATATGCACCAATTGTAAAAAAATACTTTTTCACGAATAACATTCGCATGAATGAGGCTCTAAATTGGTAGTATAAATAAAATATCGAAGATAATAGTGGCAAGAAAACGAAGAGGAAAGAGAGGCAAGAAGATCGCGCTTGTTGTTTTATTGTTTTACAGTTTTAGTGCCGATATTTTGCCACTCTTTACTCCAAATTCTAACTACAAATTATGTTTGACTAAATAACTTCATAAAATTAGAACTAATGAGATACTTTCCAATTTTTTTTCCCACGAGCGATTGCGATACGTTATAATATTTTATCGTTTCCTTTGGTCTTTTATGACAGGAGTAAAGATATTTTCTTAATTAAAATATCTCTTTTATGCCCTCACCTCTCCAGTTAAAGTAATTCTTTTCGTTATTTAACAAATGTTACAATAACTTGCTTCATTTTTTTACAGACTTTTCCATATATTACTGCATTTCGTTTCTGCCAATGTAAACTTCTTCAAGCAGCGTGAAAAGTTTAATCGAGCATGATGTGCCATTTTTTCAGAACAGTTTTTTCAAGCAACATGGATGTAATACAAGTGATGCTCAACAGAAATATAATAGCAGAGCTTCAAATTTATATAAAGTATAGTTTTATATATATTTAAAATGTTCGAAGAACGTGAATTAGTTTTTTTTCGCTTAGTACCATCATTTGGATAATTGCTTTTTTCTGTACTTTTTTGTGTCAATAATTATACAGGAATGATCATTTCTTAAAATTGTTTTATGGCTTTTATTTTTCTGATGAAGAGAGGTCACTGTCTAAAACCTAGTACAATACAATTTTTTGAAAAAAAAACCGTTTTTTAAGTTGTTCAAAAAAGCTTTTAGTGCCATACTTAAATTCTTATTAATACACCGGCTTGGTTAGCTTTATGAATTTTTTTACAAACACAAATGAGTTTACTGGTCGATCCGAAGTGTGTCTTATTGTTAAAAATTTCCTTTTATTTTCAGGAAAAATTAGCTTTACTGGCAATAGAAGCACATCGGCAGTATGGCACTTCTTTGATGATGGAAAATAGCGATTTGATAACGAATGAAGTATTTGACGAAAAAAATGCAAAGGAAGAAGTTGATTTTTTTTCGCAAGATTTTGTTGTTCATCAAAGCAATTCTTCTTGCTCGATAAGTCAGGATGCGTTCATTAACAGTGGCAGTGAAACGGTATTAGGTAAAAGGGAACTTTGGTGTTTTGTTTAATTTTTCCTTGTTTTTATTAGACATATTACAAAAGTTTCCATCTATCGAAGTGTGACTGCAGGCCATGATCTTCTGGTCTTAACTATCATTTACGTACATCATTAAGAATATCTTAAAGTCACTTCGGATTGGTTTGTAGTTATGGTAATCCTGCTACTTTTAACTTTATGATGCTCCATCGTGCTAAACGTTTCCTAACTGCTGCCTCAACTTCAGCCATGTCAGATTTTTTTATTTAATAGCAGTTTTGCGGGGTTTATCAGTTTACTAATCAGTAATATTGGAAGAAGTTAGAGTTTGCAGTTTTCAGAACCGAATGTTGAAACATTATCATTGAGTGATGCATCTCGTGATCAAAATATTCCGTTGAAGTCAAGCATTACGAGCAAAAAAGTGCCGGTGAAAAAGTCAGGGGTAGGTTGCATTTAAACTTATCGGCCTGATTTTATTTTTTTGCTGACCTTCTTATTCATATCTTTTTTTTTTTGCTTCCTGGTTGGATCAATAAAAGTATTTCCTTTTTGCAGCTTGGTGCTAAGAAAGGAATGGGTGCACATCGCATAACTGCGAATTTCGGTGAAATTGAACAGCAAGTATCTAATTATGACAAGGACAAGGAAGCACTGGAAAGCTCTACCATAAAAGGTACTGGAAATGGTGACAGTGATTTTGATCGTTCGGAAACAATAATTTCCAGTCGATTTTTGATGCAAGAATTGGAAAAAAAGGTATGTTATGATGTTACCTTTTTAGAATTTGCGATGAGACCATTCATACTACGTAGGAATTCAAATGCAACGCTGAACGGTTTCTTATTAATCTCTTTGTTGACGGATCGACGAGACCGCTGAATTGCAAAATTTCTCAAAGGAATTCTATTTTCTTACTTTTATTTTTAAATTGCCATAGGTTTTCAATGGAAGATTCCACTTTATTGGATAATTTATCATGTTAGGCTAAACAACAAGTAAACAATATGGATCAGAGTAAAGCGGACGTGGTAGAACGTCTTGGTATGGGCAGTGGTGGCGCTATCTTTGGAAAGGGAAGAATAAGTCATTCGGTAGCAGGTGGCATCAAAGCTATTCCTCAGGAAGGCATTTCAAGGAGTAGCAATCAAACTGTAATTCCAAGTCGACGAGAAGGCGAATGGGAAATTTTTGATGACGATTTAAGGTTTTGTTTAGAAATTCTGCGTGTTTGCGAGTTTAAATGTGGAAAGTAGGATGAGAAGAGAGGCACAGGGTTGGTATTTTTCGCTATGTGTTGCGGACTGCTCTTCGTTCCGTTCAATTTTTCAATTTATTAGGATTATGACTGGTTAAAAATTGTTTCATCTTATTATATGCATCGTCATTTAGAGGGACTGAAGAGAGATCAAGCATCGTCGATGATCGTTGTATTATAAAAAAAACTGCAGACGATGATTTCTTCGACAGCTGGGAAACTCCTCCGTCAACAACTACGACTAAGAAGCCGTATTTCCTTCTTCCATTTTTTTCTCGAATCATTAGTAACCTGCTATCAATTTGAACACAAAATAGCATTGTTCGTGATGAAAGGGTTATTCAATACAAAAGAGGCTGAAATAACTGTACCAATGTATGTTAGCGTTCCATTAGACTAGACTGGACTTAGAATCCATTCTTAGAAATGACTTGGTTGACATATCCAAATATTTCACGGATAGCTTTTATTAGAGCCTTTTTTGAATAGGGTAATTTTTTTGTTTCCATATAAAAAAAATTTTCTTTTTGGAAATTCATTTCAGGTCGAGGCCAACTATAACCATTGCCGTTACTGAGCCATCCAATGATAGCGCGTTGAAGAAATTTGCAAATGCAAGAGCAATATCATCCGATCAGTATTTTGGTGATTCGCAAGTGGATGTGAGAATTTTGCAAGAAAATATATTGATTTTATTTATTACATGGAAAATACATTTTCTACTAGAATAAATAACCTTGTTTAAAAGTTGAAGTTTTAGAGTAAGGATTTTTCTTTTAGTATGAGGCACAATCCAGGTTGAATCGTTTCGAAGGTTCAAGTGGCATTGGCAGTGCTGATTTATTTGGTGATGGCGGAAACAGTTCATATGGTGGTGGTTATGCAAGTCAAATGCCGGAAATTGCGACAATTAGAGATAGTGTAAGAGTGGGTGCCAGCAAAGTAGCTGGGAAGTTATCGTCCCTGAGTAACTCCGTTGCATATTATCTTGCGGTAAGTGAATTGTGAAATATATATTTAAATTTCTGCTTTTACTCTTACTATCTTATTAGCTTTCCAAAAAAAAATTAGAAAGCAAACTTAATGCGGGGATACGTCTGGTGTATTGCTTGCATTATAACTAGTCATATCTTCTAGAAAACTTAGTTATAAAAGATATGCATACAAACAGAAAAAATTTTCTTTCGTGTTACTTTTTCATTAAAAATATTTTTTTGAAAGTTTGTTTCAAAGAAGAATGCAGAACTTGACTTCCTACTTTTTTTTAGGTTAGTTCCACATTTATAGTTTAGTTCCATACGATACTTTTCTGCATAATTCCATTTCTGCTGTTACAGAATCTATCCATTCTCACTTTCGGTTTAAAGTTTTTGAAATGCGGAAAATTTTTCATGAAGTTCTGGTTTTCTACTCGTCCTACTGTCACTGCAGATTTTATCTGAGATAAGTTATGTTTGGTAGCCTGAAATGATTCTAGAAAACGCCGAAAATTGCCTCTTTAAGTCATGAAAAATTTAAAAACACTGTAAAGTGATATTCGAATTGATAAAATTAAAACGTTTGAAAGCTTTATTTCAGCGAACAAAGATATAATTTCCGGAATGAAAAAAAGGTTTATCGTCAATATGAGTTTTTTTCGGGTTTTGTGTTTACTTAGCAGAAAATCGTCTTCTAAATTGGCTTGTAATTTCTCTATCCATTATTTAATTAGATTTCGACTTTATTTTAGTTCATTATGAAATTGCTTAATTTCTGTTAGTTTGCTTTCATGTTCTTTCTAAGCTACTGCGTTATGTTGCATGATGGACTTATAGCTTTAGCTTCGTATCTAGTGAAATGAAGTGTTTTCTTCCCACTTCCAAATTATCATTTTAAACATAAATAACAATATCTAGAAATGCATTAAAATTAATTTTAGAAAAAAATTTCTGCAGCCTTGGTTGAGTAGATGTTTGAAAACATGAAAACTTGCTGTTAAAGAAATCTATTTCAGTTTCAGTAAAGTCTCTGCTTTAATTAGATCGGAAAAAGTGAAGAGGGAAAGATTGGTCATCAGAGACGAAGAGAATAGAAACATGAGAGGAAATTAATGTTAAATGTTTTTAAAAGTGTTAGCTAGTTTTCTAGCTGTACTTATAATTTTCCAAAATACTTGAAAAGGTAGAGAACGTTGATTCCATTTATATATCCTGGAGGAACCAATGATTATCGGGGCGCTTTGGGAGTAATTAAGCAGACACCTATATATCAGTAAGCCAGACCACGATACTTCTATTTATCATATTTAATGGAAGGAAGGATATCTTTTGTCAGAATCCTTAACAATTATTATAGGTCGAGGTTTTAATTCATGGATTAAACGAAATTTCATAGCTGGTCTCTCTCACCATTGCTTCTCTAGATATTGGCTTTCTATAAATTTGTTTGTTTATAAATTTCTTTTTATTTCTCCTTCTATACTTTTTTGTTGTTTTACGGATAGTGTCGGGTCGTGTTTGTATATCAGGATAGAGGATTCGTAGCTGTGGTAGCAGGAATCTTTTACTAAAGATTAGAAAATTCAGCACTTCGTTCCCCATCTTCATTCTGTTTACTGATCACAAGATTGATAAAGACGGGGAAGTGATTCCGAAAATTTTCCCTGAAATGAAACAATGAAATGTGATGGAAAATAGTATGAATATTAAGCCTGATCGTTAGTTTAAATTTGCCTGGAACTTATAAGGTACAGACATGGCCTGACTGCTTTTTTTGAAAATCTTCAATTTATTGGATTTAAAAGAAGTTTTTCTTCAGAGCAACCAGGATCGGTACTGATTATCGATCTTAAAAGAACAGAAGCCATCCAGTTTGATTATGCTTATGTTTTAACTCATTTATTGGTTTACAAATGGAGTGAACGCCGCCGCAATTGCACTAATTTACTTTTTCTTATTGAACATAGCACTTGATAATAAATTTTGCGTTTGAAAGATTTATTGGCTATCTTCTTGTAAAACATGACTTTTGCGTTAAAACTCTTCCTTGTCAAAACGTTTCAAATTCTAATTTGTGGTTTTATGTTGGTAATGGAATGATTTCGAACTAGAAATCCGATATTTTAAATTATATCATATTTAATCACTGTAGCTAATGGGAATATTCGGGATTGTGATATATAAAATAAAATTATTTGAATTGTTTTCTTGGTTCGATTTCGAAGTCAAATAAGCGAAAAGAGTTGCGCTCATCTGGTAAGCTGCATAGATACCAGATAGATGTGTTTCAAGTTGTAAAGTTGACCAAAATGAAAGCATTGTTTTCTGTTAGATTATTTAGCTAAGAGTCTGACATTCGGAGATATTATTCGGCGCTGACCTGATTTGGACATTTCGTGGTCTCCTAATTTATCTGTATTATTAAGTTATTAAATCTTGAAAAGATTTCAAGAACTTCGACCTTCCCTTCACTTCTTCCTTTCTTGAAGCGAACATCTTCCTCAGTTTATACAAGTTTAACTAGTTAAAACCGGTTCCTGTTAACGATGCATTAAAAAGCAGAAAAGGGAGGGAGACGGAGATTTCGTTGACGGATGGCAGTGAAATGGGAAAAAAAAGTGACCAGGAAACTAAATGTAGTCAAATATATACAGTTTTGCTGACTATAGGAAAGTAAACGTTAATTACGTTGAGCTCTAGCTCCGTTTCTCTTTTTCGGTCCGTGTATGGACCTATTCTATCGTTCTCCTTCCCGGAAGGCGACTTGATTGATAATTTGCTCTATGCTACTAATAACAGTGGGAAGCTGGTAGGCACAGAATTGAAAAGCTGGTAGACACGAAGCACAAAATTGGTGATATTTCCGACTTTCGGTTCTGTGTATGTATGCAGTGAAAGGAAACAGGAAGAAAGTTATTGAATTTTTTCGCAGTTAACCTTCAAATATTTTCAACGTGATAAAATAACAAAACCTCGTTAAGCACTCAATTAAAGAAAAGAGTGGATATATAAATAAATGCAAATGCAAGTATAGGAGGTACTTGGAAAGAGAGTTCGGAAATACCAGTAAACAAGTAGTTTTTTGGGATCAGTTAATCCATGGGATAAAATAGGTCACTATCACTTTCGGAATGTAGTTTTAGGTTACATTAATGACGTAATAAGCTCATTAGGGATAACATTCGAACGTATGGGCCATTCGTCGTTTTGATCAAATAGGCTTCTCTCGAGAAACGCATCCAACAAGTCATATTGAGTACGCGCAAAACGAAGCGGATTTTTCCGGAACATATCCTGAATTGTAAAATTTCTGAGCCTTAAAGAGTAAGATTTTGATTCCAGAGTGAATAATGCATCAAATGTAAATGTGTTGTAAAATCAAACTCAAATGAGAAAGGCTTATTGATTCGGCATACATTCTTCAAGTTTAATTGACATTTTGGTTTTTTGGGAATAACATAAATGTAACTAAAGACTAGATAAATTTAATTATCCATATAATCCATTTTAGTATAATCCATTTTAAACTGAATTCATTTTTTTGAAAACTCATTGATTCTAATTTCATAGACTTTAGATATCGGTAATATTAGCGCTCACCAGGATCACTATAGACTGATGTGTAGAGAGAACCAAGGTCATCAACCACTAGTCTCCCCGTTATGATTATTATAAGTAGTCATTATTATCAACCAAGATATAGCTTTATCTTTCACCATCCTTAACATGATGTTGTCAATTTTTAATTTTTCCACTCCTCGTTTCAAGGTCTATCAGACGGAACATGCATTTAAAAATGGAGAACAATTTTTTAAAAATGCCCCAACATGAAAAGAGCCACATATAATCATTAGCCACATATAATCAATATTAGTAAACCATATAAGAGCCACATATAATCAATATTAGTAAACATACCTTAACGAAAGAAAAACCATAATCATGCGCTGCAATGCTACCATTATCAAGCTGAAAACTTCGTATCCAAGATCCAAAAGCAAACATATTTGGTTTCTCTATATTTCCCATATCAACAATTGTCTCCGGCAGATTAAAATTGAATTTTTGTCGGAAATTTTGATCCTTTTTCGCTGCGTTGAGCAAATTTTGCTCACATATGGGCATCAACATCGGATCATCCGCCGTATTGCACATTTGTTTTATTGATGCGACAACAATTTTCTGCTCCTTTCTGAAAGAAAAAAGTTATGGAGGAATCGAACTGCATAATCTTCGATTCATTAATTTGGTATGTATCAATCAGTTTATATAAACTATTAGGAGAACGTGTTTTTTTTCACGTTCTCTTACACGCCTCATCTGGTTGATTATAGCATCAGTCACAGCTAATTCTGTAGCTGCAACACTAGTTACGAATATGAAGTATCTTTAAGTGCAAACTCAATTTCGAATCTTACACTCACATTTTCAGCTGAGATCGACATAAATACGGAAAAATCATAAATTTGTAAAATCAATCCAACAAATTAAGGGTGAAGTTACTTTGCCTACATTTCAAACAACTTCTGGAAATTTTAATTAGATGCGCCTCCTGTACAGTTCAACCAGCTCATTTTCAATTCCATATTTAACTTTTGTAATATCTGTTATTAGAATTGACTCAAAAAATAATCCATGGATGCATATAACCCATGAAACAAACTAAATTTGCCTTTTTCCTCGCCTCCATTAGTACATTAAAAACATCAAAGGATTCTTATCTAACTCAGTGCTTCGAGAAAAAGACAAGAATGTCCTGGAAAACCGTTCATCCATCTCCATTTTAGTGGGATTAGCAAACTTCCACTTACTGTCCTAAATAGTTTACTACCATCCGTCCATGCTGCCTTTTCAGAATCTCTTCCAATCTTTGCTTGTCTGATTCGTGTTTCAAATCAAAAAATTGCTTTTCATATTCTTGCCCACCAATCTGGATCTGAAATTTCAATTTCATGCAATTATTTAAGCAATCATAGAAAGTAAGACGAAGATGACGCTTAGGGAATTTTTCGGAATAAAAGTCTAATTTCATGAGAATTATAAAAGATATGCTGCTCCAGTATCTGCAATGGCCTCAAGAAACCTTCAGCCTCATTTACATTAAATTTATAAAAGGAATATTTTGCTAAATCCTTTAGGAAATATAGGAAATCATTTCAAAAAAATGCTATCTTAAAGGTTAACTTGAACAATTCATTATAATTTATACAATTCATGGAGAAATATCCTTCGATATATATTTTTCTAGAATTCTTTTAATAATTACAATGCCATCTCTAATGCTTTATCCTCACCAGTATGGCAATTTTTTAGTCTTTGAATAAATACTTACTTTATTTAACAAACTTAGCTCAGGTATAATACAAGGCGTACGAAGACTGAGAACATCTGGATATATAACTTTAGATCCCTGAAATTTTAAAAACTTCCAGATCTTAAAGATATTTCATAAGCTATATGAAAGATCAAACTGAAGAGTTCATCTTATTTCATGAATGAAGGTTGAAAAGAAAAACTAAATGGGATTGAAAGAATCCAATTTTGCGATGGATTTAATAATCTGAATTTTACTTCGAAGAAAAGTAAACTTTCTACCTTGAATGTAATTTCAACTTCCAGCGCTACCAATTCTTCGGTGTCTGCATCAATTGAACATAATAAACGTTCCTCAGCCGCAATTACCCAAAGTAGTCGAAGCGGTTGCAAATAAGTCCTAGAAAAATACATAGAACTCTGTTTATGCGTTTTGCATAGTCTGACAAATAAAAAGTAAATAAATAATTAATGAAAAATAAAACCATATGAATTCTCTCCACATTGGGAAGGCGTTTTACTTTTCAGATAAATGGAAATAACTATGCACATATACGCCGTCTAAATAAAAGATGAAGAAGGAAATCTAAAAAATTTGCAATCGGTTCTGAGGGCGGCTCAAGCCGTTGTTGATTAATTTATCGTCTTTCCCTTTCTTTCAGTCAGATTAAAAATAGAAAACCTACCGATTATCATTCAACGTATGAGGACTGATTGGGAAGAATGAAATAACAAGGGCAGCAACTGATAAGTCGTCTGTTTTCAAAGCATATCTGAAAAAAAGGCACTTTCAATTAAAAAAACATCATCAGTAATGAATGATACACAATTCGACAAAGAAAATAATTTGAACCTCCCACGACCAAGCATCAACATTCCCATTACTGTGTTTGCAGCAACATATAAACTGTGCGACGTATTGTCACGATACGCTTCCGGTAAGGCTATACGTGTACGAAGAAATCGACAAAGACGTAGCACTTGCAAATTTCCACTACCGGCCATAAGCTGGAAATAAAAAAGTTCTGCAATAATTGAAACGCTGTATTAAGCATGCATTATACGCAAAATTTATAATAAGATTAGCTCTTCTTTTTTGAAAATATTTATAATATGTGTTTCAATGTATTTGCTTTGACAGTTTCACAAAAAGATCTAAAAAACCTTATGCTATAAACTGCAAGCCCTAACCATTGTAAAAATGACTGGGGTAACTATACAATAAAAAAATCACGATTATTCGAAGACCATTATTATGCTGAAATGTCCAGTTGTTTTTGGTATGTATAATGAATGACGTAGTAAAAATTTCAAAAAAATCATGCGAAAAAAAGAACATACGATGCCCAATGAGTTAATGAGAGTGCCCAGTACATTAAGGCAAGCCGTGACGCCAGCGGCAAGACTCAGCTTACTGCAAACCTGTTGTGCATCCGGTGGTAAAACCATTTTTATATAATGCCACTGTAAATGGATTTTATAAAAAAGTAATTTTTTTAAGCGTTATAGAAATTCCTTATAACTAAAAAAAAATATTGCGATAACAGTTCAAGGTGCGAAGGGAAAGTTATGATGCGTAAATGTAGAAAAATAATTAAAAAAGAGGTGATGCCAAGCACTAAAAGACTACTGTTGAACCAGTGGCAGTGAGGACGGAATCAGCGTCGATTCCAGGAGGAAGTAAAAGCAGAATTTTTTAATTGCATATGTAAGAAATCAGATAATTTAAACGATATCACTTGTATTCAACATAATCAATATTTGATTAGAAATGTGGGTTGTTTTTTTTCTTAAGAAAGGGATACAAGCTTACGATTGTATTAAAAGCTTCGGAGTTCCATGTCGATGCGAAACGAATAGCCATTGCAAAGCAAGCCCCAGCTACGACATTCAAGTAGGTCTAAAAAACTTACTACTGGAAAAAAATAGTGAATTTTTGCACTCTTTAATCAATACCTATTTACTCATTATATTCAAGCCTTACGAATTTGATAACTGCTGCCGAATAATAATTGTCAAATAAAACAGACAAAACCACCAATCCAAACAAAAACTTTTGGCTCGAGAAAAAATTTTTCGCCACTTTTTATGAATAAGACGTATCTCCTTCTTTATTATAATGGGGAAAGTTTCACATTAATTTCTGAATTTCAAAGGTATGCTATATAATAAATACAAATATAGTTTCTTGAGAGATCAATTGTACTACTATTATCCGTCCCTTTACACTACTATTGTTTCTCAATTCTGACAGCAGATATTGAACAGACAAACACAGCAGTTTTCCAAACACCACAGTTTATCATTGCTTCGATTGATCAACCAATATCGGATCCAACTTCATGACGTCACACTTATGATGATAATGATTATTAACAAGAGAATCCCATTACCCCCTTGTAAGATAGTAAAGGAAATACGAGTGGCATAAGTAACCTGAGCTATGGTTTGCTTATCAATTGCTGCTTGCAACATTCGTAAGTCTTCATCATCATCATCATTAGTTTTTGGCAGTTCGTTAAATAAACGGTCCTTATAATTTAACACAATTAATGGTACTGATTGTTCCACCCAATGTTTGGAAGCCGTTATTTCATCCCATAAAACAAGATGTCTGCAAAGTGTTCTGAAAACCATCTATATCACAACTTACTCTCGAAAAATCTTCCATCATTCTGCACCCTGACCTGACCTCTCAGTGATGCAGTCAATCGGTAAAAAAAAGAAGCCTCCACAAACAAAAGCATTTTTAGCCTCTCAGTCTCTTTTTTGAAATCTCAGTACATCTTTCTTGCCACCGAAAAAAGTCCCTAGGCAAGGTGCAATTTAATAAGTAATGAATTTGAACTTGATTCTATAAAAGCTAGCCAAAATATGGTGCTCACCTAAGCAAAATCAGATCAGGTCGAATTTCCTCAATTGCTGATATTGTTTCGGGGGTTTTCAAGCTTTCTGCGGCCCATTTATTCTCTGTTCGAAGATACATTAAACCTAAGGCAACAGCAGCTGGACTTGCTGCAATAAACCAAACTCCTTGAGTAAGCTGGAAATATAAGAGTTCGAAAAATAATTCATGATGCAATTTTTCCAAAAAATTTTACACAGAAAGACTAGAAATGTGCAATATGATTAGAAAATAGCTTACTACTAGAACTTATACCAAGACTGTAGGTTTTACTCACAAAGAGAAACAGCTGATTTGGAGGAGATAAAATATGCAAAAGGGTTCGATATGGAAATACTTACAACGAATAGCCAGGAAATCATAGAGTATTCAAACAACTGAACATCGTCTAAGGTAGTGATAACAATGTCTAAGATTAATTACTGCAATCTTAATTGCATACTTCTTCAGAAGATATACAAAAATAGTATGCAAAGAAAAATGAAACGCAAAAAAAAAAGATTTGCAAAAAAACGAAACGAAACAAAGTACTATATTCTGTAACATATCACACTAATGAAGTTTTTGCTAACTCATAACCATAAACTTTGCTAATTCCTAAGTGTCCATGATAAATTGAACGATCAAAATAGAGCAAACCTGTCAGGTGTGGATTGACATTTTCTGATCCTCGAACATGATTTGACTGCGAAAAAGACGAGGCAGTAGCCGTATGTCCCAAAGAAGAGCCTTCCGCGGAAGTAACCGAAGGAAATACACATAGCGATCGCAATCCACCTTCCATTAGTACGATAAGCCTGGATGCTATTGCAGGATATTGTTCTACAAACGGGACACTCGATAACAAATCTTCTCCACGTCCTGTAATTTACAGAAGGAAATACATTTTAATAAATTTGACATTACTAATCAATAACGACACATAACATGTAAATAAGTTTGGCATTTGATGAATATCACTGGTTTACTGATAGCTTCTCATGTAGCCATTATTGCATCAAAAACAAAATTTTTCATAATTCATGAAGAAAATCAAAAAATTCTACTAACCCAAGGCAATAAGACCAATAGCAAAACCCGCAGAAAGAGAATACGAATATCGATCAGTTGGTGGTTCATAATCCGGACAAGCAGGTCGGCCTATTTCATTGATTAGCTGACTTAAGATGCCCATATGTGATGATTGTGCGAACAAAAGACCAAGTGCTACAAGTGCCGCAGTTTGAATCATCGTATCGATATGCAATTCAAGTAATGTTGGACCCATCATAAATGGTAAATGTGTTACCATCATTTTATACATCTGAAAACTGATTCGAAAATTAAAATTTAAGAGGAGCAGTTAAGGAAGAGAATTCTATTGAAATCAGCGCTCGCATTTTCTCCAAACCTGCAAAGAGGACAGTATAGTGTCTCTTAAAATCAAACCGCAACTTAGGAAAAGTACTCAGTAAGTTTATCACGCACTGAAATCTTTGGATTTCCAATGGCGAAACTATAACTGCTCCATATGAACACAACTTCTAAATTATTACTTTTAGTTTGTGCATGGAGTATCGATATATCCAAAATATGATGTTAGCCAGATAACAGCCATCGGCTTTTTTAAAGCTTTCAAAAACATAAAACGCGCATGACTCTAGTGAATTCCACATTATCATAAGATGTTCCACATAAGATATTTCATGAACGACAAATCAATGAAGACTTGAAATCCGAATTTTTCAGGATTTTATGCAAGTTTCACAAACAAGTATAAATCTATAAAATATTTAATTACTCTACCTGCACATCAGCGGTTGCCCGACGACTTACACCACATCCAAGCAGAATTGCAATGCTCATTACCGGATCACCGCTACTCAAAAGTTCGTGTATCATAAATAAATTCATACTCGTTATATGACCATTCAATCCAAACGCATACATTAAACCGGCAGCTTCTGGCCCTTGCTAAAATGAATTGAAAAATTAATTGAAATTACTACTCGTGATATTCGATTTTTTTGGAAAATAATATTCGAAAAAATAATCTATTTTTATTAAGACTGAAAGAATTAATAATAATTTTAATACCAAATTATTGATGCTCATCGCAAGCCATTCACTATCAAGATGTAAACTACCCGAATCACCGATACATAATCCAGCGGCAACAGCATTGTAAAATGCTCCCCATTTGATCATCGGTTTGACCAACTAAACAAATTCTTTTATGTTTGTGATCTTTCTAGCAGTTATATTTAACCATTACAGAGTTATTCATGTCACTAATCCGGATATCAAAGACCTCCACAGCAGTTAATTAACACATCATACTACCTTTTCCATAGGTGTTGAAACTTTTTTCCGCAATATCCCAGTACATCCAGTAACACCCTCAAATCACAATGTAACAAACAACTTGAATTTTGTATGCAGCATGATATGCATTTATTAGAACAAATTGTCTGAACCAGAACTTGGAATGTTAGATTATTTATTGCTTAGTTCTTAATAAAAAATCACTTTCAGCCGACCGAAACCAAATGTATTTAATACGAACTTCAAAATCGACGTAATGTTATAAGATAAAAGGATATGTTGCAGTGTTTGTTTATGAATTGCACTTGGGCCCTTCCACTTAACCGCTCTATTTTAATTCCCTGATTTTTAAAAATAAATTTACTCCAAAAAAGACGTACCTCACTTTGTGGTAGTTCAATTGGTGTATTCGTAGGATGTAATCGTCCTTGTAAATTAAGTGGCGGTATTGCACGTGGTCGACTGAGAGGGGGTGAAAAAGATCGAAAATCGAGTGCTGAACGTCCAAAAGCATGAGTTATATTACGCATGCTAAAGGATTTCAGAAGACGCTCAGCCATTTCTCGCTGACTTGCTTCCGAAAGACCCTGAAAAGATCTCAGTTCTGAAGAACACAAGTAAAGAGTTTGCACAAGTAAAGAAATGACATTTCCTCATCTGATCTCATTGAATTCAAAGCACAAAGACGTTCAAATTATAATGAATAACATTCCGGTCAAAACTATCAAAAATAAATCCCAAATATTTGTTTACGAACAGATAGATTTTGAATATATTTGGCATTGTTATTTAACTATTTTTATCATCTATAATTCTATATAGCTGAAAGTTACGACAACGATTGGCTCCTAATTTTGTTATTTAATTTACGATACATATCAAATTTATTTAATCTAAGTAATCTTTAACAAATATATATGAAAAGAAAGTCTATAGCATTCAACCCAATCTTTTTGCAGAAAGAACTCTAATCTAAAATTACTCCTGCTATAAACATTGCCTAAATGTTGGATAAGGGCGCACAAAGGTAGAAACAGAAAGACCTAGGTTTCCTATTTGAAATACTTTCAATTTAATGCCATCTATAAAACTTGCTTCACTAGTTGATGGTATAAAAATTGGGCGTCTGCTATCAAGCATTTGAATTACATTAATGCATCGCAAATCGTGCTTCCATCGTCGCCGCGTAATTAGAAAATTTTCTTCCGTAGATGGCATATGACTGAAAATTTAGAAAAAAAGGCGTTAAAAATATATTTTCCAAATTGCTCGAAAGTTTAAATTCAGTGTGTATGCATGAACTTAATCTAAACTACATTAAAAATCGTTCTACGGGCCAAATTTTCAGCTTAAACTTCTAAACTTATCCAAATTTAAAATGATTTCATCTCTTAAATTATCAAATTCCTCTTTTCATTGATGAAGAAACAGTAAAAAAACATTTGATCAGTTAGTGTAGTGTATTAACAGTAATTACATATTGAGCACGCCCTGAAAACATGATAATTGCACAAACTTAGGCTCAATAATATGAAGCACAAACCTTCGATCTTCCTGATACATTGCAGGTGTGAGAAAGTGCAACGTTTTTGCTGAATGCTCATAAAGCAATTCGCATAAAATTATGGCAACCGCTGGTGGCAAATCTAACAGTGAAGATCTAGTGAATTTAAACAATTGAGCCAATTTTTCACATCTACAAAATTAAAAGAAAAATTTTAACTTCGCTAATTCGAGGATACAAACATTTTTCTTATACTAATTCGATTTCAGTTAAGAATAATAATTATTGACAGCTGATACTAATAATTATTCATTCTTTGCTAGGTAATGTGCTTATTGCTGTTGGCATAAGGAAATTATCCCTACATTTTACTCGTAGAAAAACAAAATTTTTAGTTCCCTGCATTATATATGAAGGCATATCATTGTCATCAGGAAATTATTTATGACATCTAATAGTTTCTGTTATTTGATGAAGAAACAGAAAGCAAAATTTAGTTTTGAAGGGTCAACTCTTTCTCAGATTAATATTCACTTAAAACTTAAATCACGTTTGTTTTTCCCAATGATTAGAACAAACTTTTCAATTGCTGCAGAATTTTCATTCAGGATATTAGCAAATTGTTCCGCGTCAGCCTTCGTTAAGCGTAATTTTTTCTCATAGGATTTTCCTAGAACTTTCTGAAAACAAGTTGATGAATAAAATTAAAATTTCTTAGCTTTCATTTTCATGTCTTAGAACAATGAACTTCAAAATGAAAAGTTCGCAAATTTTGATTAAAATTTAGAAAATAAGATTAAATTATTTCTCAGGGTGAAAGATCCAATGAATCCGAAAAAGCAAAGTAGATTAAATAACTGAAAAGGGGGTTTAGAAATTGTAAAAAAAAAAGATTAGAAAACAAAAGGAAAATGAAATTCAATAAATGAAATGCTCAATAAATTGAACCGAAGAACAATTCATTAAAAAAGTGACACTTACTTGAACATCGGCAATACTTTTCAGGCGTTTCAATCCGACAGCAATTGTAATAACAATTGGTGGAAAGAAATGTGATGACGTGATTGATGTCAAATGACTCTTGCTATCCAAAAATCGTAACAAATTATCATGCCACGATGGTATACGTTCCGGTGAAAAACGAGAACTCATCAAAAGCGTTTGAAGCATTTTTCGTCCACCTGTGGAAATATGGTAGCTCTTGAATGCTCATTTGTACGGAACTTCATAAATTTAAGTTTAAAATTAAGCAACAAGTTCTTAACGATTATCATGCAATTCACTGGATGGTTAATTAATGAAATATATGCCAATGTAAGAATTGGTACTTCGTGCAAGTTGTTTTTGTGCAATATTTTAACAAAATTTAAAGTTTACTTGCCTTCTGAAATTCTGAAATTTTGATTCGACAATACAGAAAAGTCTTTCCTGTAGTAATCACCGTAACTTTTTAAGTCAAAAATCCTGCAATGAAATTTCTGAAGTTTCAAAATTTCCAGATGTTAATTTCCTAAAATAGAATTTGAAACCAAACTTCACATCTCAATTTTTTTTGCAGCCAATCTAAATATAAAAGACCTAGCCTCTGCAAAAAAAACAACTGCATAATTTAACCAAATCGTGAAAAGTGAAATAGAAAAAAAACCACTCTTAGGATAACATATTTCAAATGGTCTAGAAATTTTATGGAAATTTCTAAAGTTGTGTTAAGTGGAACTAATTATTTCTTCCTTTTATAAACCGCCTCATTCGACATCTCACAAATCTTTCTGGAATTGTTCTCGAGTTACTAACTGTACTTACTGCGCAAAAGCATGTAGTGAAGATGCTAAAATAAACAGCAACGAAATCGTGCGCCTATCCAATTTGGCCGATTCATAAATAGCATGTAATCCGGAAAATATCGCCAAGGAATAACTATAAAAATTGCTTTCATCATTGACTGAAACGCTGTAATATTTTGGTGCAATATTTTCTGCGTTATCAAAACTCCACCATCGGCTGCCACAGAGATGCTTCATTTTCTGCCAAGCCTAAATAATTTTCAGGATCACAAATGATGTTTGAAAAGTTTTTTGAAGTTTTAAATTTTTTTTGATCTGAAACAGAGAATGAAAAGAGCTTTTACAACTCAAATTCTGCATTACTACAATTAAAACTGCCAGATAAATGAAATTATAAAGATCTTTAAAACATTAAAGAAATGTCAGTCAAGTTAACCCATCATTCATAAATGTAGAGATCAACATTAGCACATACTTAAAGTGAAAGTAGTAAAGCAGTCAATATACTTACTCCAATATGCTTAGAATGTCCGATACGCTTCCTTTTTTTATGAATTTCTTCTTCACAGCGACTTCGTAGTGAACTTATCTAAAGTTTCCCAAAATTTTTTTCTTTTAAAATTATTTAAAATTTTTATAAAACATAAACAAGAAATTAAAGTTCTGGAAAAAGAGTAAAAAAATAAGAGAAGAAATAAGGTACAAAATTTTATAAAACACTGTAAAACACCTCTAAATTTAAACAAACTGAAATTAGGTATGAGGCTGATTAGAATAATTTTTCTAAGCTAATAAAAAAGACACTTCGCGAAAAACTGGGAAGTCCTGGATATGAAGTCCGCATTGAGCAAAAAGGAATTGTATCAACATAGTAACTTCTGCAGCAACGCGATTATTATAATAGTGATCTAACAGATGAGAAGTGTTACTGGTACACCAGGATGATGATAGCTTTATTGCTTTATCCAGAGGTAAATTTGAACAAACTTGTGAGAGGCATTCAGCAACTGTAAGGAGAAAACAAATAAAGTTACAATCAATCGTTCTTGATTTAACAGTTATTTGTAAGAAAAAGGCTTCAATATAATGATGAAGAGAAAAAGTAACCAAAAGGTGAGGATGCAATTGACGGCAGCTTGCACATCACCAGTTCATGTTTAAGTGTCTCCTGGAACTATCAGATTCTTACAGTGACCCGAAAATTATTGCTAAAACTCATTTGAAATAAAATTATAGAAAAAATTTGAGGGATACCCAAATTCAGTTACTAAAACTCCGAATCACTTTTAACTACTTATGTTTGGCATAAAAATATTCGAATGTAAAGAATTTCTCTACGTATAAGAAACTTGGACATATTTATCAAAAAAAAGATAACATATATTTATTTTTGAGATAACGTACTAAAATTAGATGGCCTGAAAAGGCAGTATGCAATTTAACAACTGGAGCACATATTGATAGACCGCAAGTACCCATGTTCTCTTCAACGTTCTGAAAATTCGATACCTAATTAATTTCCGTTTTTCACAAAATAAAGCATGAATAAACTGTTTAATTTGTAATTTACTTCATTTAACTCTCTTTTGCTTGATGCGAGAAAATTAAGAAATTTAATCCTATGTTTTCTTTATAAATGCAATTCAGATCGCTTTTTTAGCAAAAATCTGAAGGAAATTCTCATCAAGAAATTTCATCATAAATATATTTTCAATAAAATAATAGTAATTTTGTTGAAAATAGGTAAAGTCACAGAGTCTATAAAAATTCATGCCACCTGACTGTTTGCAAAAGATTCTTTAAAGTCTATAAATTCATAGTTCCCATATAAAGCACCAATACGAGTAATACCACTGTAAAGAATCACAGCCCCATCGAGATCGATTACTGCCATCATTTTGCGTCCCTGCAGAAAAAAATTTCTTCCTTGTACCTTCTACAGCTCCTACTTTAATTTCTTGTTTTTCCTGGAAAAAAGAGAAACCTTAATATCTGCAGCTCCTTTGCACGGAATTGTAGTAAAGGAACTTATAGTCATTCGTCCTTCATCATGCATCTTTCCTCGAACACATTTTAAGAGGTTTTGCTCTGCTACGTAAAAACATACATACATCTGACCAATGAAATCTAAAACGAAATTCAGGTTTTTTAATTACTACGAGAGACTTTTTTTTTTCAAAATTATCTTTTTTATATTGATTCAGTATTTTTTCCTAGAATGTTTATATACGCAAGTGTTGAACTTACGGCTATCTCAACACCGTAAACACGTAACACCAGAATAACCATACGCCTACTTCAATTACTTCACAGCATTTATTTTTTGAATCATTTCTATGCGATTATGACGGTGGAATGGCAAATTCCCTATTTTTTTGCAATGATAAATAAGATAAAGAGATAAAATAGATTTCCACATTTGTTAAGATAAATTTGAACCTTGGGTAAGAAATGAAGTACTTGCAGGACCACTTGTTTCAGGATCTGCCTGACGACGTTCCGTCCATATACATTCCATACAAATCTGCAGGAGAATTACAAGAAAAATTGAAAAAACACATTAAAGATCTAAAACAAGCTATGATTAAAAGTAGATGAATCACCTCCGGTGCCAAAAGATCGAGTTCTGAACCACGAGTTTCAATCAACGAAATAATGCTATCATCACAAAACGAACTAAGGCGAGGAGTAGTATGTGTACCTATAATGGTATGTATCAAATTAATATTTTCTCTCTGTTGAAACAATGTTAAACTGTATTAATCACAGCTGATTTATAACGCATACAATGCTACTCCGAAAAAAGAATTATTGGAGAATAATGGAATAATTGGAGAATAATTATTGGAGAATAAACCAATAATAAAAAATTATACGTTGAACGGCTAATTAAGGAATTAGAGGGAAGATTCTACAACTTCCCATTTTTTTGAACATCGACAATTGATATGATGCTTTCTGCTTGCTTTTCCAGAGAAAAAGTGAAAAATATAGCTTATTAGTTTTAATAACCTAAACATTACAGTCATAGTTAAATTTAAGATGAATAAATGCAGTAAATTAACATTAAATAAAAGCTTTATCACGTAATACTGAGATCTGCGCTTGAAATAGAAAATATTAATTTTAAAATTCTAATTCGCTTCGGAATTAAACTGAATCATTCTTACTTCCTCCTCGCAAACGTAAAATTGGCGAATCTGTGACTGATCGACTGCAAAAAAAGATCACATTAGTTTCCAAATTTTCTTCCAACTTTATGATTAAACTGAACCATTCTTACTTCCTCTCCATTTCGTCGAAACATTTAGAACTCCGATTTTTCACTTGTAACACGTGTCTTGATGACAGAACAAATGAAAACCGAATATGAATATTATACATGATTTTTTTAAAAGAACCTCACAGTGTGTTACCATCGATCCAATTATTTTCAAATAGACGGCTATTTCGATTACTCGTACTATTTAATGAAAGTGGAATATCGAAAATGTAAACTAGACTTTGCAGAAGATCGCTGAGCGGGACTTGTAGTCGGGAAAGGTAAAGATTGTATTAGTGCTGCTGCTGCAGTCATAGATCGTGTACGAACTGATCGTGTTTGAGGTGTCGCCCATGACTCATCTGCAAAAATTTTACTTTTCTTTGATTTATAAAAAAGCACACAAAAATTATTCATTAATGTATGTAAAAGAAATTTTTACCAGCAAAGGAATCATTCTTGCCAAAACGATGTCTTGATTGGTTACCCATTTGCGGAGTTGATAACTGACTTGATCGACCTGACAAATCAAGCAAATAGTTTCAAATTTCATGTATAACTTCAACTCTAGGTACATTATATCATTTTAAGCACAATTTAAGTGGACGGTTAGTAACCTGTTGTAGAAAATGGAAGTGGTACTATTTCAGTTATTTATAGTGTGTAGCAATTTATGATTATTTCAGCCCTCATTTAAAGATTAACACAGTGGTTAACAAGGAAAGCACAAATTTTTGAGGATTTTAATTAGAATATTTCCGAATATTTTTTAATTCAATGCTTTTCAAGCAAAAGAAAATTAATCGACTAACGTTTAGCTTCGACTAACGTTTAACATATTCTTTGTACAACAAGTAGAACTTCACAGATTATCATGATTTTTTTGTTTTTCTTCTTCTTTAATCAACAAACAGTGGTGCAAAAGTTATATTCTAATTAAAATTCTCAAAATTTTATGCTCTCCCTATTAAAACTAATTTTTGAATGAGCAGTGAAATAAATAAGAAATTGCAACACACTATAAATAACAGAAACAGTTTCTACAACAGGTTATTAATAGTCCGATTCAACTGTATTCAAAATTGATAACTAATAATAATGAATATTTACATTCGCTAGTAAGCTAGTTTGTAAGATTCAGACAATCTCTGACACTACTATTCATACTCTCTATCGCACGTTGAGTGACAAAAGAAATTCATTCAAGCACTCTACGAAACCAAATTTCAATACATTTTTTACGAAATTTCCTTTAACTTATTAAGAAAATTACCAGCAGCTGTAAGTGTTGTATTACATGAAACAACACTTTCTGCCTTAGCTGCTGCACATTTCCACTCTGCTTTTGTTGCTCTTCGTATCCAATATAGCGAATGAACTCGAGCAGTCGTCGAGTAAGTTAATAAAAGCTGACAATCATTTAATGCTTCCAACAATGCTACTTCGGTATTATCCCAAACATAATGTGAAGAACTCTCTGTATCTGAAATATTTACCGAATGGTTATTTAATAAGTTCCACCGACAATATAACAAGCTGTTAGACTGAAATAATTAGTTAAATGACTTGTGATGAGTATATCTATATGCATGATTATGTTAGTCATGTTGGATTTCTTCACATTCGGCAGTAGACATGCTGTGTTAAATATCTTTTTGAAGTATTTAGGGGAGTCTTCTAGTATTCCATTCCACCACACTTCCCTAAATCGTTCAAATATTTTTAGCAGATGGATCATACTGATGAAGCACTTGCTTACTTTGCCAAAAACTATACCTTCTCTAATGACGTTTTACCCTTTTATATGCATTAAATATCAAATATTATGGATCAAATCAGACTAGTCAAATGAAAAGACACTTCATATTGTTATCCAACAGTTCGGTAAACTTAATTCGATGCTATCGAAATTTATCTTTTTATCCTTGGCCATTTTATTCTTGCAAAGTCTTATGTGCACAAATTCATATAAAGCATTTTCTTTAAAATAAGTGACAGTAAAATACCTTTGTTTTTTGATATAATTGGTAATATTTCGCAGTATGGATGTGATAATGAGAACAAATGCGGGAAATTTGCAATCCTAAAACCAAATAATAAATTTTCTAAATACTAAAATAATTTTTGACTAAATTTTTTTTGACTAACTTTTCCAAATAAATTTTACATCTTTATTGCTAACTTTCGACTATTATTGGTACCTTGTGAATACAAATATAATTCATTTTTGAAAAATACATTATTTTGAAAGTTTTACAGTGATGGTAATGGAGCAGTTCGTTGCAAAATCAAGCCTAAGGCACTTCGAAATACGCGTTTTACCTGCAATATTAATTAGACCGGAGATTGAATAATCAAATTTGAACTAATAATTTGATAAAAATGTCTGGAATTTTCAAAAAAAATTTCGAATTCCGCAGATTTTGACATTCAGTCCAAAGGGATAGCGCTCCAGGCTAACTGAATTTTACTTCTGACTAAATCCCGGCCTCTGCAAATTTTTTGAAGGAAAGAGCTATAAATTATTACAATGAATGGCAGTGTAATTGTATAAGAAATCCAATCAGTATCAGAAGCGAATATAAGATTTTTGTGTCCAATAAGACAAACACCATGCAAAGGACCGTTATCAGCAGAAGTGTTCGGAAATTCACACCAAAATGCCTGTAAAAATCTGAAGTACAAAGAAAATATTTTTAGCACCTAAAGATCCAGAAATTCCAAATAAGTCGCATAAAGGAATCTATTGAAATCAATTAATTGGAGTAATATTTTAATAAAACGAGAGAATATGAGTCCAAAAAGAAATGCAACGCGAGAACTTAAACAAGAGGAAAATGAGAAGAATCTAAACAAGCAAGATTACACCAGAAAATGCAAGATTTAAATAAATAAAAGTAAAATTTTGAACAAAAAAAATTAATAACAATGGTAACTAACATCTAGCAAAGTAAAATCTGCCGTAAGTCTACGTCGAACTACACCAGATGGATATTCCTGGATTGTAACTGAATCATCTAGAATCGAAAGTTTTTCGCCACCACACTTCGACAAGCTCCGATACCGAATCTTACGTTCCTAGAAGCAGTGGTAAATCGTTTACTCTTTGATAACTATATAACAAAAAGAGCATTTACCTAAAATCACAATGGAATAAATAAAGTTTAATTTTCATTTTTTTGTTGAAATCAAATATAACGTGATCATTTGATACCAATAATTCAGGAAATAATTTTGAAATCACTCTTAACTTCATTTCTACAAGCACAGTTCAGTTTTTCACTAACGGTCATTTATCTGAACGCTCTATTAGTCATAGTTCGCAAAAGAAAATACTCCTAGTCACTTGATAATATATGAAGTCTAGTGAGTATATGAAGCGTACTCAATCTATGCAACTACTGAATATGTAAAGTGATTTTCAGCTGTTCAAGCTAGGTTATTCATTACGAAACACAATTAACAACTTAGATTCCAAAAATAATGATCATTTCTTTCATTTCTTTATATAAATGACATTTCTTTACAATTAGATAAATAGCTTGTCGCTATATTTTATCGTAATAAACTAGAAGTGTTAAAGACTTAAATATGAATTAAATCTTTAAACGCTTCAAACAATACGAAGCGATATGAAACAATTCTTTTTTTTACAGAAGGCCATACTTCCAGTTCACATGTAACGGGCAAAAATTAGCAAAACTGGAGTTCTGCTTCAAGTTTTGTGTATTTTTATACGAATTAAGTATTTACTTTTCATATGTGAGTTAAGGAATGCTATTAACCTTTTGCAAATAAATTTCTCAAGCCCACAGCCTGAGCGTCACATTCATTTAAAATATATTTTAAATTATACTTTTAATTATTTAACTGCTGAAGTTGTAAAATAAATTGGTAAAGTAAAATGCAAAACGTTGTACTTCCGATTCGCCTGCAATAGGCTCTACTGAATCAGCAACAATCATATCACTGTTGTCGACTACCTGCTCGTTATCACCTCCGCAACCATGCATTCAATCCAGACAGCAACTCTGGAAACAATAGCCAATAAAATTTGCATTACGCTCGTTTTAGTGGTCACACGTGTAATCGACGGGTGATATAAACTGACAAGAACATGAGGAATATAGTGTAATACGATTTAATATTACCAAGACAAAAGATAAAGAAATAAGAAAAATGGGAGATAGGAGAAGAGAATAAATTCCCAAGTTCATAGCTTGAGTACCTCATTTATTTCGAGTAAATTTTCAATTATTAGTTTTAATTATTTAAATAGTAAAGTCATAAAATGACAATAAATGAATGAAATAAAACGAAAATACGTTGTACTTACCAACAATATAGCAATTTCTATTAGATAATATACTTATAAGAAGCAAAAGCATTATGAAATGAAATAAGGTTTCGTAGAGTATTCTAGTATTTCGGATTATCTTCCGTTGAACGAAGTCGAATCATGATTGGAAAAAGCTTTTATGAAATGAAAAATAAGGTTTAAATCGAGGATCACACCGGAACTGCAGTAAAAAATGCCTCGTTATCAATTAGGACTTGAATAATACGTACAATGCTACAGCAGTTGGCTGTCATTATACGCTGAAAAGGAAGATTTTAAGATAATAAATTGAATTTGTATGCAATGTAAAACATAAATGGGAAAGTCCAAATTTAGCTCTTAAATTTAAATTTTTCCTGCTTACTTCCTCATTTAGAAATAGACAAAGTAGCTAAGCAAATTTCGATGAGATAAATGAGACATCGAAATTTCGCACCGTTCGACATTATTATTATCAGCCGCAATTTCTGATACAAATTTGAAATTTTTGCGACGGCGCAAAAATTTGTGTCGAAAGCACTTTGTTTGCAATTTTCGCTTTATTTTAGAAATATATTTTAGATTAACCTCATCCCAGTGTAGTACTGAGTATTATTTAACTTTGAAAGGATGATTTCAGGCTTTCAGAATGGGACGCTGTAATACTATAGCTGGAGGCTCGCAGCTAGCAATACTAACACCGAATCAACGAGAAAATATTATACGGAAAGAACGTGAAAGACGTCGGTTGATAAGGTAGGTTAAATGCTATACTTCAGCTATTATGACTGGGATTTTCATAAATTGATTTGAAGTAAGTCGAATTTTCTAATTAAAGTTTTGAATGATATCAGAGGAGCTGGATTTTTCTTTTTAGTCTTTTTCTCCTTCTACCAACTCTCATTCAAATAATATATGGTAGGGCAGAAGACAGAGAAAGAGGGGATAAAAATTATGAATTCCTATTTTGCAAATTTTTTGAGTTCTTAAGTTACTTTATCAATTTTTCCAAATTTCGTTCTTTTTTAATTTTTTGGATTTCAATCAACTTCACGTCATGTGAGATGTGTGTCGTTTCTCGCTTTATTAGTAATATTTTTTGTTGTAAGACAGTTAGTTTTACAAAGCGATCAATTAGCTACGTCAACTATAATTTTATTAAGGTATTTTCATTACTTTAACAAGTGCTGTCTTCTGAATACTTATCTTCTTCCTAGGTAACTTACCTCTCAGAGCTTAGTTCACTCGTGTAACATTTACGAGAAACATCTTAATTCAAATAAATCAAAAGATGAACGGAGTGTCATATCAGCTGATTACTTCCTCTACTCTTGATAGTGAGCAAAATTATCAGAGTCCGTAGTATACAGATATGTAGCTGTCTTATCGGTGAAACATTTCGGTTCAAGATAATGAATCGGACATTTGCAGATATCTGCAGGTGCGGCAGTTAAGCGCTGAAAATGCAGCAAAAATACGGGAGCGAGTCAAAATTGCAAAACGGAAGGAAATGGAGGAACTTAGAAAGCATATAATGGATGCTGTTGTTCAACGAAATCATTTAACTACCAGTGATGCACTTTCTCCTGTTCATGTCAATAACAGTGCATTGGTGAGGACCATATTTTTTGTTAACGGATAATCGAAAAATTAGCCAAACGATTTCGTTGCTGAAATCATGTAGTTATCTGTTTGATGCAATATGTTTTCCGACCTGGCGCTAACCATAAAAATCAATATGGTTAAACCTTGCGGTTAGACTATCAGTCACTCATTGAAACAATTGCTGTAAAAGTTTTTTTTAAGATGACTTGGGAATCTTATATTTTATAGCATTAAAACTGCTAAAATTTAATTTAGCCTATCGAGATATCGCGTAGATCACGTCGGCACCAAATCACGAGTGAAGAATTAGCACGTACAGTACGTCGGCATCGTGAGGCGTTGAATAGATTGCATCGAGAAAATGAACGCGAGCAACGACGACGTGAGCTCATACTGGAAAGGCAAAAAAAAGCCCGCGAAATAGCAAATGTACGATCGAGAAGAATTTAATCGGACAATTTAACTTGTGTAGTATTTAATAATTATGTTTATTACTGCAACGAAGATTGCTTCATTTTATGAAAAAGCAGAATTATTAACGGTGCTAATAATACAGCTAATAGTAACATGGAAAAGTAGTAGAATAAGCTTTGGATTTCTGGAATTTTTTTACGAACATATATAGAAAATGTTTTTCCAAAAAAAATAAATCATAACATTCGTTTGCTTTAGATGCTTTTCTTATATATGCTTTGCATTTTTAAAAAGAGAAGCAAAATTTTGCAATCACCTGTAAATCTGTAAAATATACACAACAGTTTCATTAGGATATTGCTGATTTTGATCTGAATTTCCTGTAATTTCCGGTTAGTAGTTCTTTCTGTGAACTGAAATAAGACCTGGTTTGTTGATTAAATTTAAAAGAGCCGATGCAAATTTGTCTGGAAAATGAGCTTCGTTGTAAAATTATAGCAGAAGATATTTGTTTTATTTCTTTCCCCTCTTGGTTCATTGGGAATATCACGGACAGATCCACGGTTATTTATTATAAAAACGTTTTTGCAGTGATGATTTACTAGTAGATGTGAAATTCTATTTAGTCTGTATGTATGAAAATTTTCATGTAAACTGATGATGCTATAAATTGAAACAATGGCCATGTTACAAATGAAATTTAATCTTCTCATTATGTGAAATCGTCAGTTGGGAGATCACTTTACAGTGCTAAGCGTTCTGCTATATGTGGAATTGCAATAATTCTAAAAGCATGTTAGTTGACCAGTGAATGGGCTACGTTTCGGGATTCGTTCACAAATATCGAAAGTGAGTCGTATGCATGAAATTTCATTCTCATACAATAGCCATGGTAAATACTCTTCTCTGAAATACAATGAAATTGAAATTTAGAAATAGAAGTGAAGACAATTTTGGAGGTTACATTTTCTGACCAATTAAAATAGAATCTTGTAGCTAAGGGTAGTTTCCAAAAATGATTGTAACCGGAAAGGATTCAAGAGGAGAGGTTTTGATGGGAAGTGTGAAAATTTGTAAAATTTGGTTCTTTCCCGTTATACATTAAATTGGAATGGATCTGTGAATATGATTCTTACGAGGGTATGTTTCGAAATATTTGAAAACAATTTATCAAAGTAATTGTTTCATGTAAGCTACTTCGTATATCGTTATATTCGTAGTGTTGTAATGGTCATTAATGAGTATGTATAATGGAGTAATGGAAGAGTCGAAATTGTTGGAAAGCAATTGATCCATCCTATTCGAGTAGTTGATGTCATTAGGCATAGGAATAGGATTGTAAGTTAACACTTTGTTTGTTTTGATAAGTACAGTAAATTAGCAATGTTTGTGTACGATTATACTGCTGGAGAGCACCGCGCAAAAAAGCTTGATTTTTCTACAAGCAATCACTTGTTTGCTATTTTACTTTTCGAAGTTCATTTTTATACTACGATCGCTCGATTGTTAATATCATCATATGTCTGTTACCTGTGCCATGTATCCTTGCGATAGTTAGTATACCACAGTCGAAATTTCTCGAACTGTTCATTACCAATATTCGAAGTTCTACCCCTTTCTTCTAAATCCTTTCTTATGGTTTCTTCAATTAGCTCCTCCTTGATTCGTTTTCTCTTAGCAACTTCACCTGTTGCATTTGCTGCCAGACGTAGTTTTGCTACCACGGTACCCTGGATAGAAAACAAAAATTGGTATATTAAATGCTTGGCAAGAAAGTTTCTTCCTAATGGCGATTTTTGATTGAAATGAAATTCACATCAACAAAGTCAGTTATTTTTGGAATGTAAATATGAAACGAACAATGTCACAATTAAGCAATTATTTCTTAAAAATGATCATTAGGATATTATGCGATACAGATCGGGCAGGATCAAAAACTTGATAATCTCTGACAATAGCGCACTATTATACATATGGCTTTTTACGCTGACTATAATTCCATAAAAAAGCTGTGACGTTGTTTAAAACAACCCTAATCAACTATTAGGACATCAGAAAGAAAGCTTTATTTCAATAAGATGAACATAGATCAAAAGTTTGAAAGGTAAAGAAAGACTGTCGATTTATTATGGATTAAAAATTGAATGAGTAGTAGAAAACTCACATATCCTACTTGTTGCAAAGAAGAAAGTGCTGATCGATAATCGGAAAATTTGTCACCTTGGAAGAAATCAAATTGACAGTCACCGTTAATATCAAAAATAGACCAATCATTGAAGCAAAATTCTTTCCTAAATTGTGAGCGGTACTTAACCCATTTTAAATTAAATCATTCAATTTTTCACACTAATTCTAAATGGTATTAGCTTTACTATTTCTAATACAAGGTAAACTAAATTTATTAGCCTTAATTCAATTGAAAATTCTAGTTTGGATTCTAGAGAAGGAAGGTTAATGTACGAAAATAGTTGACGACTTGAACAGTAAACATTGCAATATATTGATATAAACAATGAGTGAAAATAAAGGGCCATTGATTGAATAGCTATATCTAGGTGAAGCAAGTTGCAATAATTCTCGATACATTTTTGTTTACCTGAAGGTATAGAATCCGGGATATTTTGGACAGTTAATTCCTTTTAACTGATCGGTAAATGCTGACTTCCCGTTTTCTTCTTGTAAATGATGCAAACTTTCGCAAATGTCACAGTAATAACTGACAATATAAATATTATATTTATTCTAGATGAACATTTTTTTTGTATTCTATTAGAATGATAAATGATAGATTGTTGATATCAGTCTTTTGATTATCATTGTAAAATGAACACATTATTGCAATACATAAAATATATTCTCTTTAAATTCAACCTCCATTAGTAATACTAAGCTAACTTAGCCTAGACAGTTTAGAATAAAGTTTTAAGTTAAGCATAATTACGTTAACTGCCTTCAAATGCTGAATTATTTCGAATTCGGTGATGAATTCATTGCTGTAGGTAGTTGATCTTCAATCAGATCTTACTATCAGAACTATAATAGTATGAATCATACAAGTAAGTAGAATTTTCCTATTTTGGTTAATTAATAAGAAACGATCTTGCAAATTCTTAAAGATGTTTTAAATAAAAAATTATATTAATATAATTTATTACTAATTGATCAAAGTCTTTTGTATGAAATCTTTAAGCTCTGTTCAAAAGAATGTTGTATGATGTGATCATTCTTCTTGAGCAGTGATTAATCATTTATCCCTTTTTGTACTTAAAAATATTATTAGCCGTAAAAATCTCACTACTGAATTACTCAATTCTTTTCGGTTGCAAAAACTATTATCATTTTGCCATTGTTCGATTCCATTTCATAATTAACATAGAAATAAACAAAATGATATTCTACCTTAGAAATAGCAAAAATTTGTTTGAAGAATTAAACATCTAAAAAAAATTGGAAAGTTCCTAAAATTAGACAGACATATAATAGATAGTTCGATGCAGAAATTACCAGTTATTCCCATAACCACCACATCCATTACTGCTAGCATTTTGACATTTTAAATTTGCAAAATCCTTCACATTCCACCATTGATATTCAATTTTCGCAAAGAAACTGTTTCCAATTGCATCATGATTATCCAACACCCGAATATTTTTAATTTCAACATTGAAACAACCGGGAAGTTTTATTATTTTTGGATAAATGACAACTTGTCGTGGATCTACTTCCAATATCTTCTTTGCTCTCGGTCGAGCTGAAAATTAAATGTATCAAAATTTTCGCCTTTATTTTTTGTATGGGAAGTGCTGTTAGATTTGACAGGAAATATTCAATTTATGAGAATCATTGTATAAATTACCTTACTGTTATACTTATATATTACTTTAACAAGGCTTATTTTAACAAAAATGATGCTAATAAATGCAAAAATTTTTTGGATCATTCAAATTTTATATTTAAAATATGAATAATTCGAATTTTGCGAAGTACTCAAACGATGAAATTAACTGACCGATCAATTCATTGATTATTTTAAATTTTGCATTTTTGATAGCCAATTCGAAATTCACAAAGTATTCAAACGATTAGTTAACCGACTGATCAACTCATTAATTGATTTAAGTTCTATGTCTTTGATGGTGCCTCATTGCTTAGATCATTATTTACCAAGAAATAAATGCGCACTATGGTCTAATCAGATTTTAAATGATACTTAACACCTTTGCTATACATGGAACTGACAATAGTAAATGTTTGAAAAACTTTTCAATTTGATGAAATTAACTTATTGTTGAAGTTAAACAATACCATAAATGTTATCAGTATGTTAATTTTCATTTCATTTCTTATGATTCGTGCATTTTATAAATGATTCACATTATTGTTGTCGTATCTAATATGCTATTGTTATAGCATCTATAGCTGGTATACATTAATTTTTTGCTATTCTTCAAATCATTGAAATTATATGAAACGATTTTATCCGTAGTAAATACAGAAAGGGAAAAATATTGGGAATGATGAGAGATGTATGATAATGATGAGTGGGTGGAAAAACCGGTTGTTTATTCAATATGATCCATGCTATCTGCAATTCAAACAATTAAAAAATCTGCTGATAATTTTTTCTCACTATTCTCATGACATCTATCATTAATTAAAACCGGATTTATAAATGCGGAAAGCATAGAAGTGCTTGTGCTATGTTATACAGAAGTAATTCCTTCTTTATGAATACTTTTTTTTTTCTTTCAATTTTCATAATTTATTGAAAAATGATCAGAACTATTGAAATATCCTAATGGGTAAGTGATGACCTTTGTTCCTAATGGGGAAGTGATGACCTTCATTGGAGCACTTTTAGGCTTTTCCAAAATATTGTGACGAATTATTTCAAAATTGGATGGTGATTACTATAATGTTTCCAATAGAATTGTGATAAATGAAAAAATGAAATGGGTCGACAATTTATATCACAATTGATTGTTAAGAAAATTTGGATAAGAAAGAATTGAGTAGTATCCAAAATATTTCGCAATTAGTAAGCTATCTTACCGAGTTATTTATTCTTTCTATAATCATTTTTATTTTTCAACAGATATGATAAATTTTTCAAAGAATAATAAACTGACGAAAAATTTTTAAATTTCAACAGGATCATATTGATCCGAAAGAAAAACTTACAACAGCTAATATCAGCTTTGCCCGGGATAAGCCAAATATCTCTTTGTAAACATTGAGAAGTTTTACTCTTAAGGGTGGCTGTATGCATCATTTGTCGATAGCGTTCCTGACATTTCGGATTCAAAATATCACAATCAATTTGCTGCTGACCACTGACAAATAATATAAAATGGTGTGGAAAAAATGGTAACAAAAGCCAAACTGTAGTAGTAATTATGATTTGTAATGATATTGATGATATTAGTAGAATGGATGATAACATTGATGATGATGATGATGATAATGATGTTGATAATAACAACATCAGAAATGTTTATGTTTGTGTTATTTGAATAACAAATGTATGGAATAAAAACAAATGAATAAAATAAGTTATTAGTGATCAGTAATAATAGTACTAGCAATAGCGTCTTGAATAAGTAATACTTGCAAGTTTGTTTTGATCAGTTTAATAAATTCAGCAGACAAATTGCTTCGCTATTTATAGCTTCGATAAATTATGAATTAATTAGGAGATGATATAGTAGCCAGTATAACAATAACAGTAACAATAATGACCGATCAGTTTAACCGATAGCAAAGATAATGATAATGATAGCAAATTGTTGTAGGAAAAATTTATATTAACAATAATGATGATGAGATAACGACGATAATGATTGTCGTTAATAGATGGTTTGGAAAAAAGAAAAAGCAGTAAAATTACGGTTTTTACTGCTATTGCCCACAATAGTTATCGTTAATATTTATATGAATACGACTAGTAAATTTTAACAGTGAAGGTTATTTCAATCGTTACAACACCATCCATTTACTATACACACACATATTATAGTCGTATGAAATTTATTTCAAAACATTAATCATCACCCATACTGAGTAATAATAACATGACATATGCTCTAAACCGGTATTTCATATATGAATACAATCATCTCATCGATATGTTTAGTGAAATAGAATATGAATCATAGAAAAGTTTCAAATTTGACACTTTCCGCTATAAGAAAAATAACAACTACTTGTAAACATGATAATTTGAGATTATGATAATCTCTCATTGTAATACTATGATAATATAATAAATAATTCGATATTTTTTGCTAAAGGGTAAATGATAATTTTTTACCTACAATACTATCACATTTAGCAAAAAAAAGTCAAAATTATAATTTATGTTATTTTAATTACATCAGAATCATTAATATTATTTAATGTAATCCAATAAAAGCTCTCATCCGGAATCTTACTTTTTGTTTCATCCTGATTATTCTCATAAAATTACTGGAATAAGTATTATATCCTTTTGTGTTTCAGGAAATCAAAAAATTAACCGACTAGTACTCTTTACTATTACAATTAATGAATAGCTACTGTAGAAGAGAATTGATTGATTTTTATTGATAAAATATTCTTCTAAAATTTTTGAAATCATTGAGAAAAAAATTATGCGTTATTTTCACAATTTTTTGCTTCGAATTATTTGCAAAAATTACTGCAAATATTATTTAAGAAACAAACCAAATCAAATCATTTCTCTCATTTTTATTTGCAAACTTTGCTTTTTTAATTCAAACTTTCTTCTTTTTATATTTCGATTATATCACATAAATATCGGCAATTACATTTTTATATTATATGTATAACAACTTCTTTTATTGCAACTTTTATAATAACAACTTTTATAACTTCTTTTATTATTATGATTATTATTGTTGTTGCTGTTGTTAATGTTATTGTTGTTGTTGTTATTGTTGTTGTTGTTGTTGTTGTTGTTGTTAATATTTACCAGTGTCGTAATTACTATATCCCTTTCAGCTTTTTCCCTCAGCAATCTTCTCATTTTATGAGCTTTGTTGCGTATTATCCGAATTAACTGACGCTAACTTAAATTATTTATTTATGATTTAGAAGAAGATTAAAAAAACCCTTTTCTATCTTATATTCATTTGGAAGAACCAAAGTATTTTATACTCGAAGTATACCGTATTTTACAAATATTACGGTAGGAAAGATTTTTCAATAAAATTAGTTTTTATTTTTGTTTAATTCCCTCTTTACTCTCTTGTATTTCATGACCAAATTTTTTTTCTCTTCAATATTATTTTTAAAATGTTCATGGGAATGTTAAATGAAATTCAGTGCCAATCTTTCATAAATGATAAATTTAACTTTTAAAATTTAACTTTCAATTTTCATTTCATTTAAAGGTATTAGATGTGAGGATAAGTATTTTAACAAACAAACCATAATTTTGCTTGGAATAGGCTCGGCACTATTGCCAAATCGAATGTTTTGTTGTTGTTCATATTGTGCTTGTGCGACAGCATCTTGCAATGATACAAACATGTAACTTTTCGGCACATGCTCATAAAAATGCGAATTTTCGAACATTTGCCGTACCGCTACTTTAATATATTTCTTTCTCTATATGCTTTTTGTAAAATTATAATTATAATTTTTTTTCTTAAATATTATTTGAGATCATATATCAATTCCCATATATCGATCCAATGTTATCATCTGTTTTGATATAATTTTATAGCATTCAAGAGATAATCAATTCATACTGACAGACAAACTCATTTAACACAGATAACCGTTGAGAAAAGTATATTTTCTGTGTGTTTATTGTAGAGAAAAGAATGGATGGATAGTAACCTTTACAGCAAGCAAAAAATACAGTAATATTGATAGCTTTATATTCGGCATGTGTTCGTGCCAGCGCATCAACACCCATTAAATCGATATATGGGAATGATGAACAATCAACGATGATATGCGTCAATTGAATTAAATCTTCTGCTTCCTCTGTTCTTTCAACATTTCGTTTCGATGAATGAATACAGTGTTGTCGTACTGTTAGCTCTGCAATGAATTTCTTTATCAGTAAAATTATAACTTTATTTTTAAAAAAAATAAAATTGTTAGGAATAATCTATTGGGTGATTTTGAAAGAATAATATTAGAAAAGTATGAAAAATTTTTATATTAAAAAATATGATAATGCTATTTAAGACACTGATAAATAATCAATAGATCAATCAAATAAGCTATAACAAAATGTTGAAATGAGCAAATAAATGAATGAAAATACTAATTGATTGGCCTATTGGCCAATTAAACTAATGAATAATGAATAGGTCAAGGAAATGAGTGTAAGTAAACTGTAAGATAAAAGATAAATGATATTATTAAGCAAATAAAATAGTATTTGACGGGACTTTTTCTGGTAAACTCACGAATTTCATCATCATGATCTGCAATTTTATCTTTTTTATTGATAGAATCATCTGTCGCTTTTCTCTTCTCATTAACTGTTTGCTTAAGCTTTGCAATAATATTTAATGGATCGAGGCCTGTTGCGCTAAAATAAAAAAAGAATAAATTTTTATCGAAAATTGAATTAAAATTTTAACTCTTTTCATTTTATCTTACGAATATAATCAAATCAGACAAAACAAATAAGGAAATAAACAGGTAATTAATTATAATTAAGATTTTAATTTTTAAAATGATTTAAAACCTTGATCTTTTGTTTTTATCTTCGAAAGTTTATTTCAGTCGAAAAGTAAAATAAATTTTTTTGATGCTTAAATAAGTAATATGAAAATGTGAAATATACCTATGCATGCTTGATAAGAATAACTCAGCATTTGCAAAATACAACGGTGCATCGAATCGAAATACTTTAATACCCGAAATTTCCATAGCTGTACGATAATGACTGATACCTTTGAAATCTGATGTCCCCGGAATACGTCCCATACATGTACTCTCTGCCCTTAATCATTTAAAACATATTTGAAATTTTTACTAGAAATTGCTAAAAGATGGCAAAACGCTGTTTAACTTCTTTTGATGTAGGAATTGTGAAATAATTTTAAAAAATCTAACTGTCAATTTTCATGACAACTTCTATTCAAATTAATTTAGGCGCATTTGCGCTTTCGCGCTAATAAAGAAGCATTGCTGCGCCAAAAATAACAACTTTTACTTTTTTATGTATATTAATGAGTGATGGAATTCACAAATTCAATTAGTAAATAGAAACTTTTCAAACTTTTCGAAAAATTTTTTTATCAAATGAAATTAATTCTTTAATTAATATCTTATGAAATGAAATTCGATCATTTTAATTAACACTGATTGATATACCATTGTGATCGTAAGACAACGGTAAGAAGGGCAAAAACAACACCAATTGCAAGTCCAATATTAACATTTATCAGAACAACCGCTGTAAATGTTACCAAAAATATGAACTAAAATAAGAATAAATGTTAGAAAAAATAATAAATAGAAATTAAATCTTTTTTCCTATGATTTCAATTGTATAACTTTTGTTGACAGCAATGACAATAAAAGTTATTGACTTTTGTCCAAATTATATTAATCATTTTAAATAAAATGCGAATAACATTGTGAAAGTATTATGAAATGATTTGAATTAAGTAATAAAATAAAATTTTAATTAAAAATAAAATGAAATTCGTAATGAAATAAAATTTTAGGTAAAAGATAGTAACGTAAAAACTAACAAAATCAACGATTGATTCTTGAAAAAGTGCTCGTGACAGGCATACTTTTAAATATAAATCTTTCATAGCAACCACAACAATACATGATAATATCGTCTGAAGAAAAATAAGTATTTACTTATTAGTATTTATTTATATAATTTTTATTCTTATTTTATATTCCAATTTTTAATATGTTAACACCTTTGTTGCATACTTCATATTATAATGAATGGGAAAAGTTATCATAAATATTATCATACATAATGTTATCATACGGGTGGCACTTTCTATTTCTTCACGACTATTAATAATGTATTTTAAATTTGAAATAATATATGAATTGCGAAAGCTTTATTTTGTTGATCTTTTTTCATTTGTTATTTTTATATATATTGCTATATCATACCTTAGGTAAATATTTGAATAAAGGTGCAGCTCCGAATGCAATAATTAACAATATTATTACTACGACCAATGTTGTTAGCTGAAAACAATTATGATATTCAATTCAAAAAAGCATAAGTTATGACTGATAGCTGTGAAAAGTAAAATTTTATTATCAGTAAAACTTATTTGTTCAATTAATTCAAATTATAATATTACAACAAAATACTGTAAGAAACGAGATATAACGTTTAAGTGTACTGTAAATAAATTAAAATAAAATTGAAATATAGTGTAAATATGTTGAAAGTGAATGAATAATCGGAAACGTTCAAGGTATACTACAAAGAAAACCTTATAAATGCTACAATTTTTATCATTCTGTAACCAGCGAATTCGGTAATCTCTGTTTTATCTTTCCTAAAATTATCATCTAACTTGCTATTTTCGCTCACCTGTGATTTTGTTCCCAATCTTGAGCTTAATATTGTTCTACTTAAGGATGAACCGCCAGCAAAACAACCAAAAAATGATGCAACAATATGCATTGTACCTAATGCCAGCCATTCCTTTAAAAAATTGTCCGACAAAAAATCGAAGTTTAATAAATTGAATATAAGGAAAAATATGAAAATTGATATAAATTTCAGAAATTGCTTCAAAATCTCTCAGGTAAAATAGCAATTAACGCATCAATAATGAAGTAAAGTTATTAAGCATTGTAAATTATTGATTGTAAAAAGTTAATTATTGATATTGTGATAAGAAACTGTTAATAAAAGTGTTAATTAGTAATTTAAATCGGATGAATTAAGAAATAATTTCAGTCTAACAGATAAATGGAATTTCAAAATAGTCCAATAGGTAAAATACCTGATTGATGTTAATTTGATACTTATACTCTTTGGCAATTAGTTTTGCCAATGCTATATGTATAACAAATGATACAATAGCAATTGAAAAAGCGGAAAAAATAATTTGTCCGGTTTTAGTGAAATCCGGAAGAAATGGTGCACGCATCCCAGCATCAACATCACCAATAATATGCAAATGTAAATCTAACGGTGTGTCGGTTGCAAAATAGCATAAAGAAATAGAAAATATTACCTGCAACACAAAATTCAATTTACGAAAAAGAATTTAATAAACCTAAATTTTTGTTACATTTCTTTCCTTTTTATTTTGATAGAAGGAATTGAAATTTTCGCTAAATATGAAGCAACCAATTTTTAATTCTTTCACTTAATAATTCATTATGAATTCTTATAGTATAGCTTTGAGGTAATATTCAAAATCGAATTTTTAGTTTTTGTTGCTTATGAAGCGAATTTAAACCTCAAAGTCTATATCAGAACATTAATTTTCTTAAGCAAAATAATCTCGAGATTTCTTGAATATAACACGCAAAGTATATATGTCAATAATGATTCTTATCATTTTTTAATTTCGTCCTATAATTTACGAATAATTGACTTAATTAATTAAGAAACTATTAATGGTCTTTGAAATGAAACAATAATAGTTTACCAGAACAAACTCCATAGGAAATTTTGTTTTCGTCCAAGGTTTAACAATTGGATCAATGATTAATTTCGATATGAGCAAGCAGAGAATACAAATAATAGTACAAAGGAATGTATGCAATTGAAATGTACGAATATTTCGAAAAAAACAAATAATGAACTGAAAGAAAGATTAATGATACATAAATATGTAACATTTTCCAAGTATTGATTTTCTCCGCGGTAATTTTCCCCGCATATTAATACCGCGATATCTTTCTATGTATTACGCATTGTGAGAGGATTAATATTAAGAAGATTATGATAAGGCTGGTGATGAAAAAGGGATGACAGCTGACTGTATGGTCGGATAGGAAAATTGATGAGTCATCTACTAAATTTCTAATGTTACTATTGTTTGATATCGATTTATAATATCCACGAGAAGAAGAAACGAAGTACTAATTGTTTATTTAATTGAGAGTAAATAAAGGTGCAATTTATGCTTTGCTTGGATGGAATATGCAACTTAACAACGTAATTTCTTTTTTAATATAATTTAATAATTTAAATATAATTTAGTAATTTAGTAATATAATTTTGAAATTGAAAATTTCACACTTAAGCGAACATTTTTGGAATTTCAAATACTTACTCGAACGATTCCAAACATTTCGGATGTATGCGGTACATTTTTGACACCAGTCATTGTTTGAAGTTGACTGGCGAGGACATGTACTGCTGCCCCAGATGCTAAACCTTCGACAAGCTGATCAGACAGCCAAACAGCTAATAAACCAGCATTTAAAAATCCTAATATAACCTTAAAAAAAATACTTTAAATTAGAAAAGAAAATAAACTCAATAATTTCAGTTAGCATATTTTGAAATTTATGAAGAGTTGAAAATAACTGAAAAGATTATATTGATAACCTGTATCACACCAACAAAAAATGCAATCAATGATGATAGTTGAATGGCTTTTTCCGTATCCGGTTTTTGAGTTATTTTAGAGCAACAAAGCCGATCCGTTTCATTGTGTAATGGTGTTAATTCATTTATTGATTGTTCAATTACTGATCCAACCATCATGGAAATAATTGCAAAAGCACCTGAAAAATTCACTCCATTTTTTGTTCTTTTATTAAAAGAACTGAAAATTTTAAATCAGGAAATGGTAAAAAGGATAATGGATAGGTTTTTCGTCAATCATAACATTTATAAATAAAAATTATTTTTGTTAAGCAGTTTTTAATATATGATCGAATAAATTTGTAACCGGTGGATGCATGTCGTGATGTTCCAAGAAAAATATAAATCAATGGTCCAACAATACCCGTATAGATACCGTATATTGGTGGTGTACCAACCATTAAACCGTATGCAAGGCCTAAAAATAGTGACCTATGATAAGAATGTCATTTTATTTCTTACAACTTTGTTCTATAATCATTTTTAAGTATTTCTAAGATTTAGGTAAAAAAATTAAACTGATGAGAATTTATTGGAAATAACCTTGTGGTATATAAATAATTGATATCATAATGCCATTGATAATATCTCTCAATAAATCTTCCTTCCAATTGTATGTTGGAAGCCAACCAATGATTGGTAATCGATTCTGAATTTCACTGATTCATTAATTTTGCAATACATTTGTTGATAATAGCAAGATTGTGTTGACATCTAGTTAACATGGAATTGCATGAATTAAACGTGATTTGTTACCTTCAGAAAATTCATCCATTCTAGACTTCGCCACGTTTTGATTAATTTTAGCTGATAAATTACTTTCCTTGCTAATGATAAATTAGTCTGAAAACTCAAACTTCAATTTAATTGGATGATATGATTTAAGAGGACTAATTGGATGATAGAAAAGAAAGATGAAAATATTTTTCTGCAACTTTGATTTTTTAGAAACATAAATTTTACAATTCGAAGATCTTTATTATTATTGTTATGTTCCATCAAATATTACACATTTATCCGATATGATTTATTTATTCATTTTACTTTAATAATACTATTCTTATTTTCCTTATATTTATTATTACTGTCACTTAAAATTAACAATAATAACATATATTATTATCATTAACTGCTTTCTTTGTTATCATTATTTATTGATATTATCACACAATTTTAAGAATAGCCGATAATACCAAAAACGTTTAATTTTTGATTTTTTACCCGTCGATAGCCATGTTTTTTATCAAATTGTTCCTGATTTATTGCAGGTTTACGTTCCGTTTTCAAAGTTAATTGCATTTCCGATTTTTGCATACTAAAAATATATTTACGAGTTAACAGGAATTATAATTATGATAAATAGTTATTTAATAAAAAATGAAAGATATTTGAGGGCAAAGTTTGAGAGAAGTAAAAAATGAAGTAATTTTTACTTTTTTTTGAATGTGCAAAAATTCCAAAATCTTAGAAAATTTAATGAATATTTCGAATTCGTTTATTTTTATGTAGCAAGTGGTCAGTGGTCATTAATTAGGAAATTTTCGTAATACTTCGAAAAAAAGAATTTCATACGCTGTTGATAATTCTTGTTCTCGAAAAGCTTTCAATTGTGATTTTTGTGATTGTGTTGCGTCTTCTTTTATTAACTGTTTCACATTTTTCGCATACTTTATCATTTTGCGCTTCAAATTTGTTGCATCAGAAGAATGCATTGCTATAAACAATCAACAATATCACTCAAATATAATTTAATCGATCTCTTTGAATGGTTGCTTGAGAATTTGAAAAAATGCTGAAACCAACAGAAGATTGTAAGGTAAGATAAATTTAAAGATAAACCGCACGAATATGATATCATAAGCTATTTGACAGTCCGATATATCAAACTGCTACGGTATAAGATATTACACCTAAGGTATAAGATATTACACCGTACGGTATATCACACCCAGTATTTTTTGGTTTTTGTTTTGTATTTAGAGTATTGGAAGAATAAATGAAACTGAATTACTAAATTCTACATAAATCCTATCATCAAAATATCATCAATCTCTCAGATCTCTTAAGGTTTTTTTGATGCGGCACAGCCAATAATTGCAAGTTTCGACAGTTGTTTGAGCTTTAGATAGTTTGATAATCTATATCGTAAACCCTTTTCTCGATCATAAATAAAATTGCATATTCCGATTGGAATATGAATGATGCTGATATTTAAAAGTATTCGGAAAATGAAACTTTGCAAAGCAAATGGTCACTTTATTATCATTTTTTTATATCTTGTAAGTTATCATACTTGAATCTGTAAATGATGATTCGGAGGGAAGTTTTTTTGATTTCAAAAGTTTCGCTTCTGCTGATGGTGAATGACTTTCAAAGTTTTTGAACACTGTCCTCACTTTTGCATTTACCCCAGATATCCTTCTGTCAACCGGCTTTTTTTTATCAGCCATCCTTCCCTTTATTATCTACTGAAAATACTTCCGAAAACAGTTCTTCCATCTTTTATAGAAATTGCGTATCATGCAAATTTTCGATTTCAATTTTAATCCATAATTTAAATTTTCAACGAAAGGATAAAATATGTTAACTCTGCCTTTTCCTCTGCAGATGTTTTTACATGATTCACTATAGATAAAGGTCACAGCAATTGCGAATGGATATGAAGAAAGAAACTGAATATTATACATCAGTTTCATAATTCCAATTTTTATATTCCAACTGTTTGCATTGTATTTGTCATTACCCTGAATTCCTCAAATTAATTCTAAATATTGGTTAACGAACGAAATTTAATTAATAATTATAAATTATACAATGCCATAAGAAAATTAAAATTCAAATTTATTACGATCAGTTTGATAGAGAATAAATAGATGATGGTTTAACCAGTTTCAAAAATTGTCGAGAGCAAATAATAATAGAACGTAAGAGAGAGGATTGTTGAGTAATGTAGAGTTTTAAAATTGAAATCATAGTTCGAAAAAATTTGAAGCCATTTATTTTACTACGAAATAAATACATCAATAAAATATCACATCAAGTTCAAAAAAAAGAAAAGAATTGTAAAATGCTGGATTTGAAGAAAATTAAAATTGCAACTTTAAAAGTAATCATAATTTTACAACTCAACTATCTGACTCAATCACTGTTGTGGTTGTTGAAATAAAAAATAAAACAAATATATCCCGGCTTCTGCTTCCTTATGAGAGGTCAAATTTAAACCACTCACTGATAATTAATGGTGTTATCAGTTTGCCTTATCGCTAGTTCACATTCTTTCGACTATTGCTTGTTATATATCAATTCGTTATAAACAATTTTAAATAATTACAAACATATAAGGTAAATAAAAGAAATTTCCCAATAATTTGAATTTATGAAAATTTTTTTGAAAAACTTTAAAAATTCAAATTATAATTTTTCTTTCAAAAATTTTAGAAACAAATTTTAAGCTCAAAGAAAAAAGAAAAGTATTTGTGTAAGATAATTAAAAAAATGAAACAGACCATCGAAAGAATAATAAAGTACAGAGTAAGACAATTAATAGAGAGTGTGATATAATAATAACTCGACTGCCATCTGTATCATCATCGTGATGATATATCTTCTCCTTTGTTTGAACTGGTGTTGTTATATCTTCTAATCGAGAATTGTTATCTACTGATATCATCGTTGTATGCGAGTTCTGAAAATGGAAAACAAATGTGAAGTTTGTTTTTTATTTTTCTTTGATTGAATATTTCAAAGAAATTCGAGATAGAAAAATTTTGCGATATTCTGTAAAATACTATTCAGAATTACAATAAATTTTTCATCAAATTTTTACAATTCATTTTCTATCAAACAATAATAAATAACAATACGTAATTTTAATAGAAAATACAACAGCAAAGGTAAACAAAGAAAAAGTTTCGAGTAGTAAATTCAAGAAATATGAATATATTGAATAGAATTTATTCAATAATAAAATAGAATTTTTAATTTAAAAGCAAAAACAAAATGAGATAGCAAATTTTGAGGAATAAGTTTAATTACCATCATGCAAGATTTCAGTATGACATCTTTTAGATGTAAACAAAGTTTATCATCTTTATCGGTACAGGTGCAATCGATAAATGCAGCTCCTTGTTGAGTTTTTAATGTATCATTTAAAAGTTCACGACATCGTACACTGCATTCACCATGTGCTGCTTCACTTTCGCATTCCGATGTAAACACGCCATATCGTGAACTGCACTGCAATCAATTCGTAACTTGCAAAAAACAAAAAAAAAGAGGAACAATTCAAAAATAATGTCTATGTGTTTAAAATATACGATCAGAATTAATTATTGCAATTTACTTAAACTTTGGAAATTTATTGCCAGCTTAGATATTGTAGCTTTTTTCCAGTAAATCATTTCATTTAAAATTTTGTCTCTTTATCAATAAGAGGCTTTAAATTTATTTGTTTGAGCTTTCATGGTATCTTTAATTTTTGACTTTTTTAAATCGCAAAAAATTTATATTAATTTTGATTGTCTTCTTGAATTGATTGAAGTTTCTATAACAAAAATTTCATTGTATCTTTTACTGTTAGTTAAAAAAGTGATCAAGTGAAATTTGTTATAAGATATGTATAAATATTATCAATTGGTGATAATTAATGATTATAATTTGATATTTATATTTAATACTTATCATTGAAGAATAGAATAGATTTTAATTAAATTAATTGCTAAATGAATATGTATAAATTAATTCATTTAAGAATACAAAAATGTGAGCATACTATTTTAATTTTTTTTTAATATAATCTTCTAACGATCGGGATATCGTTATCGAGATTTTTATGATTTCAACGGTCAATGAACACTTAACAAAAAAATCATTGGTGGAATAGAATCAATTTGTTAGGATCGATTGAGTTAATTATTCGGTGGAACTTTTCAGAAGAGGAACAATTTTAGGAAATAAATTGAATCTTAAAAATCGTTTACAAAAAACATCAATTTTCGTGTACAATTTCGAAAATGCTTACTTATCATGATGAAATTTAAATTTTAAAAATTTAACAAAAGTTTGATAAAAATAATTTGCTTAAGTAAACTTACTTCACATACCTATTTGAATTTATATTATGATAGTATTTTTGTACGTATAGGATATGTTTGAGAATAAAAAAATTTTTACAACCAGTTTTTATTTCAATAAAATATTTGAAATAATTACTACAACATATTTTATCTCTCTATTAATTCACAAAATGAAAGATCCTTTTTTTTCAGGCCATCCACTTATACAACTATCTATCAATTTCATGCAATTATTTTTGGGTTATTGAATAGGAAATAGGAAATGGGCACAAGTCTGTAAAACAAATTTTCAGCAATGAAATTTGCATAATTAACTGCGACAAAGTACCAATAAACCATTTATATATTGTATGAAAAGTATTAAAAAATCCTAAGACTAAAAAATTAGTAACGATTCTTAATTTCATGGCCAAATTAATGTTATATATAATGATAAGTTTTATGTTATATATGATGATAAGTTTTATGCTATATATGATGTTTTATGCTATATATATATATATGATAATAAGTTTTATGTTATATATGGTGATAAGTTAAGATTTCACAGATAGCCAAATAATCCACCAAATGAGGTATTTGAGAATTATTCTATTATTCACTGCCATTTAATTAAAAAACCATTTTTGGGTTTTTTCATCGTTTCGCACCGATGAACGGTTTTGTAATGTTTTTTGTAATGAATTAAATTATTTTTAAATGATAAAAAAATATTTTTGATTTATAGTAACTTACGATCAGATCAGCTTCACAGGCTAATTTCGCCAAATTACAATAAACTGGCAATTTTTTCGGGATTAAATTACACAATTCTAATTCATATCGACCAGGAATACATGAAATATCGGTTCGTAAAAGTGATCGTCCCAAGCGATTTTGATATAAATTCAACACGGCATTTCGACACTGCGGTTGACAAGTATTTGTTACACTGAAAAGTAATTAATTTAGTAAGATATTATTTTTGCAGTAATTATTTCCTCATTTTTTTTCAATGATAACCATACACTGGTCATACATGGTCAATATTCTGTCGTAGATAGCCAGCACTGGTCATAATTGGTCAATATTCCGTAGTGAATGTAATTTTTTCTCTTCCAATTTCAAATTGAAACTTTCTTCTTTTGAGACAATCAGAAAAGTTGAAATGTTATGTTTTGTTGAATTTAAAGGAAAAAACTTTATATAATTCTTTTTTGATAAAGCTTATTATAGGAATACATTTACATTATCGCTTTTGCTTTACAACGGAAATTTGAAAAGAAGCAAAAAGATGAAAAATAAAACGAAAGGAAAAAATAAGCGAATGGAGGAAATAATTATCATTTATCGATGAAGTGTTAAATTAATGCTTGTTATATGATAAGTTTCTTCATATCCAACTAATTAAAATAAATTAATCATTTTAAATGCGTTACATAATTGTCGTAAATCAACAACGATACTACTGATATACATCAACAATTGATATCTCCATCTTTCCTCAACTATAAGTGCCATTTGCAATTCTTTCCTATATGGTTTTTTTTTGTTATGTACCGTTTTTTGATTGAAGCAAAAATGGCATAATTTTTACAAACCGATTATGTTTCGATCCCATACGATAACAATTTATTACACCGATACAGAAGTAATTATTTAGTACTTCTAACATTTCCTACCAATCTATCTTCATATATTAAAGAATAAAGTTTGGATTCTTTTAAAATTAAAACGCAAGAGAAATTTCTCACTAAGGAAAGAAGAGCTCCCGAGAAATCTGATATTCACCACATTCATTCAGTAAATTTAAATTTCAAGAGAAAAATACAAGCAAATTTAACTTCACGACGAATTTGAAACTTTCGCATAATATAATTAATTTCAAAAAGTTATTTGATGAAATAAGAATTGGTAAAGAATGAAATAAATATAATAAGAAATATGAAAGTACTATCAAGAAAGCATTCAACTACTGTTACCTTCAAGGAATTGAAAACTTTCAAAATTATATCTCAATTTTGACTTTCAAATTTAACTAAATCTTCGATATCATTAATGAAATTATAATTTTTAAAAGTTAAGCATTTCCGTTGATGTCTTTAATAAGAAGAAAGTTAAAATAAGTTTGATGAAAAAATTCAAGTAATCAATTATTTCGAGAAATTTCAATTCTATTTTTAGGATTACTTTTCTCTAATAGAATAATCTTCCGTAAGTTAGATCAATTATATCATAGAGCTGGTTAGAAAAACTTCATGGAAAATAATATAAACGAGAAAATTAGGAAGCAAAAAATTGAATGTTATATTATTTTTGACCAAATCTACGATAATTAGTATATGTGCTAATTATGTACGGTAAAGAAGTTAAATATTAAATTTAAGCATTAAATTAAATAAGCATTAAAGTTATGTAAATGAATCAGCTGGACAAAATAATATAATAAAGGTTCACTTTATATTCCATAATGAGTAATATATTTTTGAGTTTTTTAAATACATTAGATGAAAGTATTCAAACTTATATTTTCATTTTTCAATATTTAAATCAAACTTTTAAAATATATTAAGTGAAATATATGCATATTATAGAATGAATAATTCATTGATTCATTTAATTGAGTTTCAATTTAATGAACATATATGTTAGATAATAAATTTGTTACATTATGATTAGCGATTCTTCCATTTTGGATGTATTCAAAGTTTTGTTAATTGTCACTAATGAATAGGTCATCAATGCCAATTTCCATTACTTTACCTTTTCGACCATTTCCTCCATTAAATCATTTCCTTCCTTATTATTATTATTATTATTATCAAAATAATAACAACGAATATGTTAATTTCCATTGCATTAGTTAGTATTAATAACTTAAATGAATACAATTTTACTAAAAAATTTTCATTCATAGTTAAAAAATG